TTGAAAACAAGTGGCGTTTTTTTGGCCCAGCCTGTACATTGGTAATATAACGGACTTTCGTCAAGGTAACAAAAGCGAGGGGCTCAATCCCGGGCGTTCAATATATGAATTGCAACTTCATTTACGAAACAAATTTAAAATCAAAAAAAAATAAACCTAGACTACATTTTCTAGCGTTGTGCCAAATTATAATCTGCAAGTTGACTTATAAGTAGGTTTAAATCGAGAAAACAGAAAACTCGTAACCAGGAAGTTTATCAATTTTGTTACATTGACGTTGCGTCAAAGTAACTAGTTGTGGAACACAGTGATTATAGTGCAAACAATGTTGGCGTATATTTGTACTATTATTCGGGCGACAAGAGTCCGATTTTGTTGTACTTTGTTGTACATTTGTTGAACGAAAATAAATCAACTATGAAAAAAATAAAGAAACATTGCATAGGGTCTTTAAGATGCTCTCTGAATAAAGTTTGACTTTGCAATTGTACATTTAATTCCAAGTTGTCCAAGACAGTTTTACTGGCGTCTTCTTTCTGGTGAATAAATTTTATTGATCTCAATAATTATTACGACAACCCGTCGCATTACATTTATATTTCCATTTGAAATAACATTAGTTGCTGTTATAATTACATCCTACAACTTTCAAGACACATCAACTGTTTTCAAAGGTGAAGGGAAGGCGTGTAATTTATCCTTCCTTCTTATTACTGTATGTCTTAAACTTACATTTACCTAAATGTCACTGATATAGACGCAGCTACTTGAAATTGTTTCGTATTTCATATTCATGTATTGTATTGTATTATCTTTATTTCGTCCTTATAAAAGAAGAGTACAAGAATAACAGACTACAAAAGTAATGCTCACATTAAAATAACCTAAAAACACAAAAACAAAAAAATCAGGGAACGTCTACATTGAACAAGAACATATAACATTCAAAACACATACATTAATAAAACTTACAAAACATAGTAGCCCGGGCAGAATTGTTCAAGGGTCACTTTTTCTTTAATAACTTTTTTAATTTTCAATTTATCAAAATCCAAAATCCATACACATTTGAAAACTAGATTAAGATTCTGACATACAAAAAATATTTAAGGAACATTTCTTAATTTCTTAATATTAACGGTGTTGATAGTATAAGTGACGCAAATACATAATTCACCATTTTGCCTCATACTTGTTCAAAAAAGGCGGCAAGTTTTGTGAATTTGAATGTTCAGTTGAAAGTCGATATCTAAAGAATGTCATAGGTCTATGGGGTCATGCTGCAACAGTTACAATCCTGATGTAATTTACAGCAACTGGCCAATCATCAAATACAAGAAGTCAAACTTCCTCCAAGGGTCATGAAGTCAACTCTTTTAAAATGTTGGGGTTGTGTTCAAGAGGATGTGAAGAGGTGGCGGGATGTGACAAGAGTAGGTCCTCAATCTTTTCAAGAGGCTCAAAAAACCATCTCAGAGCCCATTGAAAATTTGAAGAACACCAAGGGTGGGATAAGAGGCGTGCAGTATAACGGTGGCAGTATAACCCTAAAGCTGCACTGGTTAAGTGAACCAACAGCACTGGTTAAATGAACAAAGCCTTCTAATCCACTACTGGTACAAGAGAATGGCAAAAAAACATAAAGTCCTGCGACTCTACCAATGTGCTGTTCATACAATGCATGAACTTTTCAAGTAGACATACATAATGTACAGGTCAATTTGAAACAAATGGTTTTAAATGCGGTAATTACCTCGCACAAAAGCAGTTCAAGTCTACATTACTTCATACTGGTAGGCCCATAACATTTCTTAAATATTAACTTACAACTGAACATTCAAATTCAACATGTTGCCATTTTTGAACAAATGTAAGACAAAATGGGGAATTGTGTATTTGCGTCACTCATACTATGAACGCCTATAATATTAATAAATTAAGAGATGTTCCTTAAATAATTTTTTTGTATGTCAGAATTTTACTCTAGTTTTCAAATATGTAATCGGATTTTGATAATACTGAAAATTAAAAAAGTTATTAAAGAAAAAGTGACCCTTGAACAATTTTGTCCGGGCTACTATATATAAAATTGCACAGTTTAAAAGCTGGTTAATTAAGGTGTAAATGATCGCATGAGTTCTGATATTTTTTATTTGCACAGCATGATATGAAAACTCCCCATGTTTCTAATTTACAGTTTTGGAGGGCGCCAGACGTTCCTCCAAGTTTTTCTTTCCATGTATCAAAATATCATCCTGTGTTAAGAAGCATTACTGAGGTGACAGGGTCCAGAATGTTGACAATGCCATCCATGCACCTTACATGATTTTCAAATTTGCAAGTTGACCAAATTTCAATGTTAGCATATTGGGTATTTAACCAAAGCCTCTAGAGAACTGATGCTTCATATTTAATTTGGATATTGCTGTATCGCACTGTTTTTAAAAAGCAATAATTGATTCTCTCCATATAGACTCCTCTCTCTCCTCTCTTCACAGATATAATTTCCAAAATATTCAAAGTGTCTTGATTCCAAAATACAGTCAATGTGTTCTTAAGATATTTTTTCCAATTTGCCAACTTTCAATTGGATATAGAAGGAACTGACTGTGCTCGTAATATATATTCATTTTCATTTTTCAATGACGAAAAGTCAATATGCGATATTGATCTGAAAACTTTTGTTATGGGACACAAACAATTTAATAATTGACAAAATATTGATATTATGTTTCTCTACTCAAAGCCTCTACTCAATGGGTTGAAGGAACAAATGTCTATTCGAGGCAGTATGCTAGATTTATTAAATAATGAGTATCGTATCAATTGCATTTAGTACACCGCCAAGGAAGAAGGAAAACGACTGAAACGGAGTACCTTTTCAAAAGGTAGCAAGTACTTTCTTTTTAGAAAATTGATTCCATAATTCTTTTTAATCGGTGTAAGAATGCACAAATTTCTACAATATAAAAGTACGAACAACCCCACTACAAAACAATTATAGATTATAAACAAATATAAATACGATTATAAAAATGGCAATTCAGAATCATTAATAGGTGAATAATTGGTCTAATTAGATTTTAAAATGATAGTATTCATTTTGATAGAGCTACTGTCATTATTTTTTTAATGACATAAGACAAAATAGCTCGAATCAAATTTCAATACTGAGCAGGTCAGACGGGCCAACTTGAAATGCTTTTCAGAAGTCTAGTACAGAATGCATGTTAACTAGAAGTTAATACAATTTTGATGGTGCTTAGAAACTAAGACATGGCGAAATTGACTTCAAACGACAACGTTTGAAGTGAAGTTGATTAGGAATTTATTCTTAAAACCTCACGCAGCTGATTAATTCACTTTATCACTACGTAGAGATTGACGATCTCCTTTGAACAAAACTGGACCCTGTGGTTGTAACTGAGTATTTATTTCTCCAGCGTGTCAATGTTTGAATGATTAATTAGAACTGACTTCACTATAATAATAGACAGACTGTAACTCACACTGTGCCCTTTCATTGCTGTTGTGTTTGAGAACAAGATGTAATACTTTGGACGGTTGCCAGCTCTATTATTTTTCGATTTGATTTTGATCCTGAAAAGGTTAATCGGGAGGTTAGATGAACGTGTACGTGAAACGTGTAAAACCATGGTGCCCTATTGACTATTTACACCCCACTGGACTAAAGTGTGAGGAAAATAGTTGCACATTCAAAACAAATGAGAGATGGACAGTAATTCTAGGGGTCATCATATCGTACACGTTTGCGTTCAGATTCTCCCTAATGCGTACTAGGTGTACCACAACTTCTCTGTTAAGTTTTAAAGAGGTCCATTGCAATTGTTGTCAATAGGGTTCAGAAGATATTTCAATTTTTACATTAATGTTTGACTTAAAAAACAAGGCCACAATTTTCTGCAAGAAGAGAAAGTAAATTATGTTGACAACATTGATAAATGCTTCTTTTCTAAAAAAAATATGAATCCAATCCCAGCTAATATATAGCAAAATAATAGGATCATTTCGCTGGATTTGTAGCCAAATTGTTAGGCTTCGTGGTTGATCAATTATGGACCTATTTCTGTCGCTTGGGTTTCATTGATTTTCAAAAATTGTGTTTAATTATCCACTATAGCCTTGGCAATGGCATCAAAAAATGATTAGTAACTTGTAAAAAACATTCCAATAACGCAATTCCCTCTTGGCAATATATCCGTATAATGCTCAATTAGTGAATAGAGCTCGAGTAACAGTTGTGATCACAGTTATGATTTACATACAGTATCAAGGAAGGGAGAAAGTAAGGCAGTAAGTCAATAAACTGCTATCGTTTACTACAGTACATCTCTTGAACATTCCAAATGCAGTTGTGTGATTTTCCATTCTGCGCATTGATTAATACCCTATAATTTATAATAACATCGGTCTATACCACACCAAATATCCCCCATTCTCTTTAAAGTTGCTAATTTAATTTTGCGCTTAGTCGCCATCTTGTATGCAAACTGGAAAAGAACAAAAAGTCTAATACTACATGTGGTAGTTGGATTTTATTGATTTTTAATTTAATTTCCTCCGAAAAACAGATCCGGATTGCCTAGAATGAAAACATAGCCATTATATAATTGCATTATGTTGGGTGCGTTCTGGGGTCATTCAGGAGCAAACTAGTCAAGCAAATACGTCGCAGTGTTGACCAAACAACTTTGATATACAAATCAAACATTGGAAAAAGATGTGTTTTAACCACCCATTTTAAATTCATGAAGTGTAACTTGGTATCTCATGAAAAACTATAAACTACGCTTGATGTATATAAATGTGTAACCTTTCATGTTGGCATTCTGGACGAAATCTCAGATCTATACAACAGAGTGTACAAGATCCTCAAATAATTAGGTTGGTGCTTTCAATCAACGCCAGAGATATAAGGTCTATACATTTAAGTATAGGTCGATTGGATTGGAAAATCGACCACCTGTATTATCAGAAAGCCACCGTCATAACATCAACAGAGCATGGGATGCAAGGACGGATTCGTATGTTCACCGCTCGAGCCATAGGCGCAATGTTCAATCAAACTATAGGCGATGGAATATGAATATTGATATTCAAAGGCATGCATATCCATATCGAGATGAGTACAATTCAAAAATAAATTGCTAGGATTATATTTAATTGTTTGAGACAGTTTACTCCTCGTGATGGACTCGCTAGTAATTCCGAGTGATTACCTTAAGTGCCGGTGAGTAACAAAGATTCATTATCTCTTGATTTTGTCGCTAAATCATTCTATCAAGAAATTCAGATGCACGCGGATATGCTTCCGGCTATTGATGTCGCGAAACATTTCCAGAGGTGACCTCTGATGGCAATGTATTTAACATATTTCTCGAAGATGTCCTTGATATAAAAACTATTTATATCGTTTTATTCGACATAAAGACTGAACTATTACTGTGGTATTTACTGTTGGAAAAAATAGACTGGTTATTTAACCATACGTGTTGAATTAATAATTGCAAAATTGAACTTCACAGTTGCGTAGAATGTTAAAAATATCACTTTGACCCCAGCCTTCAAGTATGATATATAGGGGCTTTTATTTTGATTTATGTGGAGGCACATCAATTTTGATTAACTTTCCAGATATGTTTTCGTTTAATAGAGATCGTGAAAGATGGCCTGCTTCACTCCTCAATCTAAAAAATAAGCGTTCGGTCGACCGAATTATATAATTCGTTTCACCATTACCACCATTTTCTTAGAATATCTATAAAATATATTAATATTTTACTCCATCAATAATATGTATTGAAAACTATTGTTACCACGTATATGTATGGCACCTTTTGACATCTGCTTGTCATCTTCTGCCTCACGAATAACCTCCCGATTCATGCACCACTGTTGTGGATCAGTTATCCTATATCATACCAAACTATTTCTCACTACTTTTTCTAAACGTGCTCAAACTGTGTAAGAACGGACTGGACGTACTTAGAACCGTTTGAGTTCTGTTGACAAATGCAATGAACGTACTTGAACGGGTAGGTCCTCCAGAGCTTACCCTACTATCACACCAAACTACTTCTCACTACGTTCTCGAAAACGGGCTTCAACTGTGTACGAACGGACTGGACGTACTTAGAACCGTTTGGGGTCTGTTTACAAACTTCATCGAACGTACTCGAAAGGGTAGGTCCTCAAAGAACTTAGAACATGCTCAAAATGTTCTCATGGTCGTCACGTTCTACAATTAGAACGAGCGACAACGTACTAACGACGAGCTGGACGTACTACAAACGGAACCGTCGTACTTCAATCCTACTAGGGACGTTTTTACAACGAGTTGAACTGTCTGAGGACGTATTGAGAACGAGGTAGAACTAATTGCAAACGAGTTTCAACTGACTAAGAACGTATTAAAGACTGCTTATGAACGAGTTAGCAAAAATATAGCTATCACACCAAACAAGTTGCCACTGCGTTCTTCAAAACTGGTTTTAAACTGTGTGCGACCGGAATGAACGTAGCTGCAACTTTCTAAGGTCTATTTACGAACTTCATGAACTTTCTCAGACGGGAAGGTGATATTCGAATTTTGAAATGATTCAAAATTCGATGGCGACCATACCGTTCTGTAATCAGGTCATGATGACCTTCTAGACTAAGGGACGCGTTATTGGAAGTTGCACACCGACATGGTGCGACCTGAACGAACTGCGAATGGGATGGACGTATTGAAGACTGTTTATGAACGAAGTAGCTAATTATTTTAGACATATTTTCCGTCCACAGCCAGACTGAGCCCGTTTTACGACTTTTTCGTAGGACTGGCAAGAACGGGTAAGAACGAGTTTGGTGTGATAGGGGGTTTAGAGTATGCTCAACATTTTCTAGTGGTCGTCACGTTCTGCAGTTAGAACGAGTGACAACAGTTACAACGTACTAAAGACGAGCTGGACGTTCTACGAACGGAACTGTTGCTAGTAGGGACGTTTTAGAACGAGTTGAATTACCTAGATGCGAGTAAGTAGTTACCAGTTTCACCACCAGGTTAATGATTTGGGTTAATTAACATGGCAGGCATATGAGAGTGTTACCTTAAACTTGAACATTATCAGTTTAAGCGTAAAAGTACAAGAACGGCATCTTAATTCCAAAATAAATTTAAGTGTGATCAGGCCGATACCCGATTTTGTAAAACGCTAGTGTAATTAGTGAGACTAAATAAAAGAGTATGCTGCTTTACATATACTTCAAGTAATAATTACTTTATTTTGCGTGATTGCTGCAATTTTCAAATACATGTTTCAACTGTATGTTGAATGCTAGAAAACAAGAAAAACGGGTGTTGTTTTTGACATCACGACATTCCCAGTTTATTGAATGGAGATCTATATCTGCAATATGTTATTCGTATGATAATGGTTTAGATATTAATATTTCCGTAGCCTTGTCAAAGGCAATATAATCATTCATACTTTTCTTGATCTAACGATTTTAAAGTAAAAAAATCAAAGGGACACGGACTTACACTCCCCTCCAAAAGTTTGGCAACCTTAGCTCCCTCATTGGACTACGTGTTAAAGCCTCTTTATGCTTAAATTTTTGTTTACATGACCTGCGAAGTAAATACTTATAATTGATTGAAATGTAACTTGACTTCATTTCCAATGCCTCCAAATTTTCCCAATTTTTTCCTCATTGTTTTGTCATTCCCGTGTAAACCAATGGGAAATAGTATACTGGAAATTGTTGGTTTGGCCAAATGAAAATTCTGTTACGCTTCCAAAGAGAATTCCTTTGACCTTTTTCACAATCAGAATAACACTCTCCTTATGGAATGGCGTTATTGTGTCATTTGAAAGACGACGAAATGAAATAATGTAAATTTGTTTTACGCAATTTCCAATCTTGTCACATGGGTATAAAAGGAAGATACTTTTGTAACATTTTCACTCGGTTTACATATCAAAGGGAAATACGCCATAGGCCACCTTACATTATATCAACAAGGTTTCGGTCGATCCAACCTCTAGACCCAGCGACGTTGGTGGCAGGGAATATCTTCTGAGCTAGAACATCGTTTTGAGTAATCTACAACCAAACGGTTGTGTTAAATAATCAAAATGATTTTCAGTGAAGCGCATGTTTCATGGCTCAATCCTTTCTGTAAAAAGGGGGCTCTTGTAAAACACTAGTACTTGTAAAACAACAAGCGCTATGAAATGATTTCAAGTGAGGTACACGATGTACCATGCCCTTGATGTATCGTAGAATTCCATGAACAATTTCATTTATGTATCCCAGTCCATCATTCCTAACAGCAAATATGTGTCTATCGCTGATGACAAAGGAGGGGGGCTTTTCTAGAGGGCACAAGCGTAAATCTCATAAATATTGTATCCAGTTTGATTTGAAAATTGGAATTTTTATTTATGTTAGTAGTGCGAGAGGTTCGGTTCAATGTCCGAGAATTCGAACATTAACGAAAAACACTATGATTGGACAAAACTGTAATAGTAGTTGGGCGAACGTTGTCTCATACGATCAAGGTGAAAAAACTATTGACCTTTTGATTCAATCAGTCATCACGTCATTCTTTATTTTTCACGGGGATGATTTTTCTCTCAGGTGATTAATGAGATCATTGTAACAAGTCAATCAGACAAGAGAACAAATCAAGGAAGTACGAGGGGTGATCAATAAGCAATAGATGCTTTTTACTTATTACAGACCAATTTCTTTGATTGATTCACCAACGACATATCCATGCAGTTATCTATTACCCCAAAAAGTCTGAAAATGACGTCACGCATTTGTATTTATCTGATCGATTTCTAAGTAAGTTTTTTTCGATTTATTTCCTCAATCTCAATTATTTCTTGCAATTGAAATTTGTTTACAACAAGAAACTATGGTTGCTGTGAGCATAATCGTACAAGTTAATAGCCCATGGTTCAATGTCTCAATAACAGGAGATAACATCACATCTTGGCATAATCGATTGCCGGTTAGAAACCCAAGTGACACTATTTATTATTTATAATATATACCACTTATTCCTAGACAACAAATGAAATACATGGATTTGCAGAATAAAGAAAATGAAGAAATCAGTTGTTCTATATGTCAATTAGTTTTGTTTCTAATCAAGGCTAATTAAAGAATGTTGAAAATCGTAACACTGTCCAATCCTAGATATTCTAGTTTGAGAATATGCAGGCAGTTCTATGTTTGGTATATTACCGAAGACGCAATTTACATATTTAGTCCCTCGCTTTTGTTACGTTGACGATCTTCATGAATATTGCCAATGTGATATATTTAATTTAATCAATTAAATCAAATATCATTTATATTCTTGTGTCAACTATATATTCGGTCGCATAAATCCACTTCATGTGCCCAATCACCAGGATGGAAAACAATTTCATACCCGTGGTTGAAAATTACACCATTTTAGAAATCTGCTTAATTATAAATAATTTATATTTCCCATTAACGTTGATGGGATAGCACAACATCTATCCTGTTGTTCTATTACAGTAATTCACCAGGTGTTGACTATGAAATATTAAAAAACACCTCATAAACAAAGTGTCGCGTAGGAAGTTAAACGGAATCAATCAGTGGTATCCGTTGTATAGGTAGGAAAAAGTAAACGATTGGAGGTATTTATAAAAGAGCAATTTCTTTCTATTTATTACTCTATATCCTACTTATACGAGAGCGTTCAACTTCCTGGATCATTTGACTTCGATCGTATCATTGGATAATAACAAAGGAATCTTAAGTATTTGTTTCTTTATAAAACAAACAAGAGACGCCAGGAAGAAATATTCGGAAAAACTAACAGAGCGAAGTACACAAATAAACAGAATGCGGCTTATCATTCATCTAGTTCAAATGATTAGATCGGAAAATATGCAAATGTTAGTACGGATATAATGAATCTAATTGATTAAATGATTCTCACAATTTATAACACGAATCGTTCTTATCTATTGCAGATATGTTAAAGTGATGGACGAAGGGACAAATGGTGCTGAGCTAGGAGTCAATTCAACAGCAACAATCTTACTAACGGTCCTCACAAATATTTCCCTGGACTCATTGAACCAGTCGTTCGTGGAAAAATGTAAAGAACACCTGAAATACGAACAATTTTACCTTCGTGCTCAGTTCGCAACCGGACTGATTTGCTACCCTATTGTGTGCGTGTTCGGATTAACCGGAAATATTCTAAGTGTGATTGTTCTTGGACAAAAGAAAATGAGAACGTCTACCAATATATATCTATTAAGCCTAGCAGTGTCAGATTCAATTAAATTACTTAACGACTTGCTTTATTTCCTCACAATATTATTTTTTCAAGTGTACCCTTCAACAGGAAACTTAATGTACGGCCACTTGTATCCATACTCTCATTTTGTTATGAACTGGTCCATATTAACGACGGCTTGGCTGACACTCTCAGTGGGCGTAGAGCGCTACATAATGGTGTGTCATGCCACACAGGCAAGGGTTATATGCAGTAAGGCACGTTCTTTAACGACGTGCCTGATTGTATTCATTCTCATGACAATCCTCGCTCTCCCCAGCGCTTTCCGCTATAAGACAATCACCACCAGAGACAACATCACAGCAACGACACATCTAGATGTTGAGCTAACAGACCTGTGGAAGAATCACACTTTTGCAACAACTTACACTTGGATCCAGAACTTATTACGGTCTATTATACCTCTGTTGATTCTCGGAGTGCTCAATACGTTTATCGTGCACGCCCTATGGCGCACGCGAACTAAGAGAAGAATGAGTGCTAAACATCGCATTACACTTACCTTAATTTTTGTAGTTTTAGTATTTCTTATCTGTGTCACCCCCGATGCCATAATGTCGACATTCTTTGGATTCGGCTATTCTGAAGCCAATTTCCTAGTAAGGGGTATTCGAGAAATCACAGATTTGCTTCTTGCAGTAAATTCCGCCGTTAACTTTATATTATATTGCACATTTAATAAGATGTTTAGAACTCAATTTATGGTGCTTTTCCTGAATGGCCCACCCAAGCGAGTGGTAGAGGATTCTGCAATGAATTATGCGATATCTTACTCTCGTGGGGCAGGCGTTTCAATGTTCCAAAATAGAAGCGCGGTCAGTCCGCCTGGACGCAATGGATTCACTAGGCTAGCAAGAGAGGATCGCATAGATGACACAAACGAGACTACACCATCAAATAATAGGCTCAGTAAATTGGCACATGATGACATTGATGACGTAGATGACAATACACAATCGAACAAACTGCTAGATAGATTAACAACTGATAATCACGTACATGATACTGTAAGATCAAATAATGGGATCATACAACTGACAACTGCAGATGCACGTACAGATGACACGGTAACGTCTCAGAATGGGTTCGCTAAGGTGACATCTGAAGAACGTATAGATGCTCTATAACGTTTTATAATGGGTTCACAAATCTGACATCCGCTGATGACACATTTCAGAAGTTGTGCTAACACACATTTCGCACATTGGAAAGACATTGAATGAATGTACTTTCATAATTGTGTATCCTATTAATGTTGATTTTTACCAAATATGTATCAATTGTTCATAGGTCCAAAAGTTATTTCAGTTCTTTAACGAATTTACCGAGTGAGATCAGACTTTCGAGATAATGGTACCCTTTTGAGTAAGATTTGATGTCATAGGGACCCACAATCAAGATCAAGATGAGTTCAGATCACTTTTTGTTAGGCAAATTGAATTACAGTCTAATTTAGTAGTATTTCTTTTGAATGAAATAGGATAGATTTTGATACAATAAATCAAAGTTCACTTCATTATCTCAGATCAAAACACCCAGCCTCTCAAGAATGATTGTTGATGGTACTCAGGTGTAATCCTCGGCATTCTCTTCAAATTCAATGTTTGAATATGGGCTTTGTGTTTTCATTGGGAATACTACATACGAAATGAAGCCCACTTTTCTCGCATAGAAATCTTATTAAAGGTAAAGATGTATTGAATAATATGACCGCCTTTATGAGTCTTTCAAACGATCTCCAGAGAAAAGGCCAACTGAGAAGGTGCGAAACGTCAGAGAAATTCGTAATAAGAACAGGCTCTGGGCCGTTTTATAATTGTATATTATTTCCTTGGACATATCGGAATTATGTTCCTTTTCCAGCAATCTACTCACCTACTACGTGGCGTGGTCGATCGACCTACAATATGGAGTGCATATTGTACATCCGGAGACGGATTGTGCAAGAGTCAGTCTTTGGATCAGATGAAATTGGGTGATTATTGTGACAAAGCACTGGTATTCATCTATTATTTAGACACGAACTTAAGGTGTGTGATGTGGATGATATTTCATTATACCACATTCTTCCATTAAAAGCCAATGGCTTGACACTTAAGCACAATGTATAGAAACCCACACAGTCGACATTTCAAAAAACTAATAATTGACCGATTATAACGATCACATTCACGAAATACCTCTATTCCGCATAAATCTTATATTGTGTCAGTAGAATTATCATTCTTGAAGTCTGATCTTGTACTACATATGTGTTATAAAACTGAAGTATCGTTTGAACCTTTGTACATTGGTAAATATTTGGAGTAAAAATAGTTTTGGCTTCATGTTGTTATTCCGAGGGAAACAAAACGTTCTAGATCATGTCAAAACATTGAGATAATTTACCAGTCAATGAAGGTAATTTATCATTCTACATATTTCGTGTTTGTATTTACTGCGTATAACACAAAGGTATGGATCTGCAAATTCAAAAGGAAGAGGGTTCATCTATTATTGATTTAGACACCTTTTTGACAATTATGGGTCATAAATTGTGTCCAAACGGATTCGACGTACTTAGAACCGTGTCTATAAACAAATGGGTTTAAATTGATAAAGGACGTAAGTGTGAAATATTAAAACTGATCATGTACTGGTTATTTAGAATTTTTACGTGGGAGAATTATAAAATGTTGAGTATCTCAAATAAAGTATTCTCAATTCACATGCAAGTAATCAAAATGTCATAGTTTGACATTTAAAGGTGGACCAATAGATTTCACATTTTACATCTGGACCAATGTTTCGTTGAACATTCTAGAATGTGACTCAGTACGTTGATAGAGCCCTAGCAATAGCAGCAGGGTTAATGTAAGGTCAGGTCTAGTAAGACCGTCAACAGAAAGGTCAATCATTGTTCAATGTCAATGTAAGGTCAGGTAAGACTGCAAACAGAAAGGTCAATCATTGTTCAATGTCAATGTAAGGTCAGCTAAGACCGCAAACAGAAAGGTCAATTATTGTTCAATGTCAATGTAAGGTCAGGTAAGATCGCAAACAGAAAGGTCAATTATTGTCCAATGTCAATGTAAGGTCAGGTAAGACCGCAAACAGAAAGGTCAATTATTGTCCAATGTCAATGGAAGGTCAGGTAAGACCGCAAATAGACAGGTCAACTATTGTTCAATGTCAATGTCGTCTTTAAAGGTCTTACTGGCAGGTATTACGGATTAACTTTCCGATTACGTTTAAGGTCTCTCTCGGATCAATGTCAATTACAAAAGATCAGGCGTTATTGACTCTTGACTTTGGATAATGAACCAATTCTCATCAATTATAGCAGTTTATAGTGAGGTCGAGACTCCACAAGTGCGATAGCTCATTATGCCAAGAAAAACATTAAGCTTATTGATGCTGAATAGATAAGATATTTATTGTTGTCTCAACATCATGTTTGATAACATGTACATTTGGAATATATGTACGTCGTATGTAAAAATGTACACTCCAGTACAGACAGTAATTAAAATTGTTACAAAATAAAACTAAAATCGAGTTTTATGTTGGTTTTTATGACGACAACCGCATCACTCGTCATGCACCATAAAAACGAACGTAAAAATATAAAACCAGGACCAGCTGAGAGCACTTAGCTGATTAATAAAACACAGATAAAATTCATGAAATATATACAAAAGTGGTAATCTACATACAACACTACAAATATATCTCTAAGCAGTATTTGTACAAGGAACATTGTGATATTTCATAATGTCATTCTTAGTGCAATAATATTTGACGTGCTTGGCATTCATTTAATTGCTTATAATTAAATATCAATAAACTTGACATGAAAGAGACACTTACTGGACCTTTATATTACATAGTCTTAAATAAAAATGTCTATTACAGAGTTGAGCATTTCAGCATCATTATAGAATTATAAATAATATGAATGTATCACACCTTAAAATAAAAATGCTATTTTCGCCACCGATCAATCATCTTTTTAACGAATATACATGTACGGATTATGAGCGCATGATTAAAATCAGAATATCTTCGAAATGTACTTTAATTCTGAAAAATTCGACTGAATCTCCCCCCATTTTAGAAATCTAGCACAATGACTTAGGTCATTGAGTAGGTAGTTACAAGTTTCATCACCAGGTGGCTCGTTTGGGTCAGATAGCATGGCGGGTATAGTAGAAAGTTCCCTTTTACTTATTCATCTGTTTTAGTGGTTCAATTTTCAAATCGCCCTTATGTATTTAATAGTTATGCAAATTGAAGAAAAATGTATCTGACCAATACAAGAAAAGATATTTAACTTTTTGTGATTTTATAACATGAGGTCAATGGGGAATCTCCCCGAACTAGAAGTCACAGTTTCAAAAAAATTAAATTTTCAAAGTTGATAAACAATTTTCGAAACCATATTTCTAAATGTATTTTTACTTGTAGATTTCAAATATGACATCACTTTGACTGAATTTTTAATATTTAATGACGTAAATCAAGATAATATGGATTCTCAAAGAATACATGCCAAAATACATTAAAAAATCATGCATAAAATACGAATACAAAATGTACAGTGCTTTTCGCAATCGTGCTCTCTGAATTAGAATCTCTAGAATCATTACAACCGTTTATGTAATTCACATCGTGATTTAGGCCCTAGTCAAATATGTCCCATCTCGATCTCCACTGATTATAAGAGTGGCTCAGCGTCAACACAGCTCTTACTCAATAAGACTATCTGCCATTAGAAGGTGGACCAGAATTTCCGAAGTTCAATAATTTCTCAAACCAGGGTAAGTGAGACTATAAACAGCATCATATACAATTTGGACACATTTAAATATAATGGCAAAATTAGTTGAACTGGAAAGAATAAGACTTGAATACTAATTATTTAAAGGAAGAGTTTCTTCAAGGTAATTATCTCACTTCTAATCCTGGAGACGTGATGACTTTTAGGGATGCCTGAATTTACCATGTTATCATTTGCAATTATTTAGAACAAGTTTGAATGTTGTTGAAAAAGTAAGCCTATCTTTCCTGAACAGTCTGTAGACTTGATAGTGGTCTTTCTCGGCGTTTATCCTGAGAATTGTAACCTCATAAATTAATAAGGATATTGATATTACGGGTCCTTGTGGAACAGCGTCATATCAGTTCTATTCTTTTCAAACGGAATGATTCTCGATTCTTTTCAATGTTTCATCATTCGATTGAAACAATCAGGTTTGGTATAATTCTGTTGCATTTATCCATATCAGACCTAGGATAGAAGAGTGTCGCTGTTTGTGATTTTAAAACCCCCGCTTATAAATCGTCAATTTCCAAGGTGTTTAATTGAAGCTGGAGCAACTGAACTTTGCATATAAATCAAAATGACGCCCTCTCTCCATATGTGATTATTGACAAGTCACCAATTGGGCATTCAATAATCATTATCAGCTAATATAGTCAGAAGAGAAAAACATGTAACTATTCTTGCACGAGTCTTGCATTTGGTTGGCTCTGTCCATTTCCCAAATCTGACAGAGCGATGAGGTACGCGGGAATCTAATGTAAGACTACGATTCACCAACGGTACATTACCATGCCAGATTCTTGTCAGCATTGATTTTATTAAATGACGGATGGCGCAGGTTAAGCTTAGGACTCGAAGAGCTCAGAATCAAAATGCAAGTAATCTACGAAGATAATCGTCATGTTCTGGGTTGTAATGATCCAATCAGAGAGAGTATTCACATGAGCAATGATATTTCACCGTGTATTATTGGAGATGAATCGAATTATAGAAGTTTTATATGATTACTAGAATAGGGTTCATCTAATAATGCAGTTAGCTCGGGCTTCCGTTCAAGATATACTAGAGGTTAATATCTCTGATTTTATGTCTTTTATACATCACTGCAGTAATCATACATAAATGATATAATGTTGAATTCTGTGAGTCTTATCTCGTTATAGTTAATTTTCGATAATAGATATATATATACAGGCCAATTTAGCCTCGTCACTCTTCGTCCTTTTTATTTAACGCCACGGATAAGTCATCGCGTCCTACTGTTTTCATCACTTTACGAAGCGCATCAAGCTTGTGTTCCTCCGTGCCGTCTGAGGTGTCCCTCCACGACGTGAGCATGGAGAATACCCTATACTGCATGTGGAACGGGTGGTTGTGCTCAAACTGCTTCAACTCAGCGGCGGTGAAGTCCAGCAGGATACCGAATGACTTCCACTCTGGACCAATCTCATTTGAGAGATTAAAGAGGGACGTATCACTCAGAGGGCCTGGAAAACCATAAAAATGTTAACTTGGCTCTTGGTGTAACAGTACTCATGATCTTTACACTCAGAAGCTAAGATTAATATGTCGTCAGTCTAAATGCTAATTCTTTTTGTATGTTTTATTCATTCTGAGATGCAATATGTCACAATATAACCTCAAAAAAGTTTCCCACTTATTATGTAGAGAGTGTATTTCTTCAGCACGTGACTTGCCATTTAAGGAACAAAGAAAATGTGATAGAGATCCAAAAGGTGAGTACATGAATTGAACCGGGTAACTCAATAAAGCCAGTATTGCCTTATTCTACTCTCCCGGGAATTTTCTAATCCTATGGACAAGGGACTGATTTAGCATCAATATCCGTTTTGGCGAAAAGAATCCTTGAATTAAAGGATTCAGCTGACATTTAACTCGGTCACTGAGCTGAGAATAGATGTAAATAAGTCGAGTAAGTCATCGTGACCAACAAATGAATAAATTAATATCAGATAGATTTCATTTCTATTTATATTCTGATATTTTCAACAATTTATTCTTATGATCACTAACACCTTCTTCCATGCGCTGAAAAGGTTCAATAACATTTCCGATTCTCTCGTAATTGTGACGTGGGATGTGTTTCAATCCAATTTAGTCTAGATATATAGGTATACGGTCAAAGCCCTCCATTTATACCCAATACAAGAACAAAGACACATATGCGGGACACACGCACAAAACTCGTATCACTGACATGTTCGAGAAGTCCACGATTCATGACAATTGAACGATACAATAAATTGGGACACACTTGACCAAAATATTGTGAAATCAACTGACAATTCTTGTGCGACGAAACACATGGTTTTGACAAATACAGATAACGGGAAACCAACTTCCAGTTCACGATTTTCCTTTTAATTTGTAATTCACAAAAACCGAGATATGTTTGTATGGACACAAAACTGAGATAAATGTTTCCTCATTAAGAATCAAATTCAAAGATTGGTCGACAAAATTGGAGATGTCTCAATTACGAAGCCGATGTCATAGAAAATTGTGTACATCGTCCTATGTTCTCCTTTGATTTGAGATTCAGGTGCCAGGGTATGGCGATTGGAATTATTATAGGAATGGAGTTAAACCAAATTATTGAGTACTGGACATAGAAACGAACCTGTAGCATAACTGCAATCTACAGCGTCTTTCTCGTCAGCGTCAGCAGAGTAAGCGTCGTATGTGTCACTATAGGGAGCAGCCTCTTGGTAGAGTAGAGAGGCACATGCCGCCTCTTGCTCCTCGTCTAGTACTGAAACAGAAAAGTGAATATGCAGAGGGTGCCATTAAAACCAAATCCCCGGCCTGTAATCTAGGACAAAGCAATGTTAAAACTTTTATGATATCACTGGTTTGGTTTGTGCTGGCGATTCTTTCTCCATAGCCTATGCATTTCCACAATGAAGGTCTGTACATTCGTGCAGCCTTATAGCACCATCGGGTGTTGTATACAGATGGGATATTCGTCAATGGAAAGGGATCGTTTCGGGGCACACTGTATGGAAAAAAGTAGTATTGTTATGTTACGTTACAAATATTAAGTATGTTACGTTATGTTACGCGTGTTACATAATGCTATGTTATGTTACTTGATGTTACGTTATGTTATGTTATGATGTTACGTTATGTTATGTTACGTTACGAGTATGTTACGTTATTCTACTTTGCGTTATGTTACGTTACGTTATTTACCATCTTAAGGACGAGTACATTATTATTCGTGAGAGTTAAAAAATGATACAATACTTTCGCAATGAGAATCGCAATGAGGGTAACATAACACACAATTTCTCATTTCACACACGTATATGAAATCGGTAACCAACTAGCCATTTATGAAGGTCTTAACGAAGGTCTTCACTTTTATTCGATGTCATACTCGTAGCTAATTAACCGAGAAAGAGTCGAAGGCAAATATACAAAGCCGGCTTTCAAAGCCGGCTTTTAAAGCCGGCTTCTACAGTACATCAGAAGCCGGCTTTTGGCGTCACCAAGAAGCCGGCTTTTAAAAACCGGCTTCGAATGACTTACAGAAGCCGGCTTCTGCAGTTACCAAGAAGCCAGTTTTAAAAGCCAGATTCTCTCTCTCAATCATTTTGTTGTGCATTATGCATCTTATTCTCGTATAATTAGCATGGAAATGAGAAAAAAATGAAAATAAGTAAAATTGTAACATAATGCAAGATTTTTTTGCAAAAAGTAATTTCAAACCAAAACTATGGGGGAAATGTAATTCTAAGTAAAAATATCGATGTATTAAATCATGTTCGTTAAATTAGAGTAGATTATGCATTGCATTTCTGTTTGATAAAAACGCATCGCTCATTTTACAAAACTGGCTCCAACTTGGAGCCAGTTTGCAAATCAGCTCGCTCCATCTTACACAAGCTATGTAGGGGCAATCTAGCAACTGGGAATCACGGGATACTGTTTCATGATAATTGTTATGTGCATTATGCATCTTATTCTCGTATAATTTGCATGAAAATGAGAAAAAACTGAAAAATACGTAAAATTTTTACATATTTCAAGATTTTTTGGAAAAAGTCATTTCAAGCCAAAAATATGACAGTAAATTGAATTCTAAGCACAGATATCGATGAATAAGATCACATTCATTAAATCAGAATAGATTATGCATTGCATAACCGTTTAATAAAAACGCACCGCTCACTTTTCAAAACTGGCTCCAACTTGGAGCCAGTTTGCAAATCAGCTCGTCCCATATGACAAATGCTATGTAGGAACAATCTGGTAACTGGGAATCACGAAATACTATCTCACGATAATTTTTATGTGCATTATGCATGTTATTCTCGTATAATTTGCATGAAAATGAGAAAAAACTGAAAAATACATAAAATTGTAATATATTTAAAGATTTTTTGCAAAAAGTCATTTCAAGCCAAAACTATGAGAGAAAAATCAATTCTAAGTAAAAAATATCGATGAATTAGATCATGTTCACTAAATCAGAACAGATTATGCATTGCATTTCCGTTTAATAAAAACGCACCGCTCATTTTACAAAACTGGCTCCAACTTGGAGCCAGTTTACAAATCAGCTCGCTCCATCTTACACAAGCTATGTAGGGACAATCTAGCAACTGGGAATCACGGGATACTGTCTCACGATCATTTCTTTGTGCATTATGCATCTTATTCTCGTATAATTTGCATGAAAATGAGAAAAACTGAAAAATACGTAAAATTGTAACTTATTTCAAGATTTTTTGCAAAAAGTCATTTCAAGTCAAAACTATGAGAGAAATTTTATTTCTAAGTAAAAATATCGATGAATTAGATCACGTTCACTAAATCAGAATAGATTATGCATTGCATTTCCGTTTAATAAAAACGCACTGCTCATTTTTCAAAACTGGCTCCAACTTGGAGCCAGTTTACAAATTAGCTCGCTTCATCTTACACAAGCTATGTAGGGACAATTTAGCAACTTGGAATCACGGGATACTGTCTCACGATCATTTCTATGTGCATTATGCATCTTATTCTCGTATAATTTGCATGAAAATGAGAAAAAACTGAAAAATACGTAAAGTTGTAACTTATTTCAAGATTTTTTGCAAAAAGTCATTTCAAGCCAAAACTATGAGAGAAATTTTATTTCTAAGTAAAAATATCGATGAATTAGATCACGTTCACTAAATCAGAACAGATTATGCATTGCATTTCCGATTAATAAAAACGCACCGCTCATTTTTCAAAACTGGCTCCAACTTGGAGCCAGTTTACAAATCAGCTCGCTCCATCTTACACAATCTATGTAGGGACAATCTAGCAACTTGGAATCAAGGGATACTGTCTCACGATCATTTCTATGTGCATTATGCATCTTATTCTCGTATAATTTGCATGAAAATCAGAAAAAACTGAAAAATACATAAAATTGTAACTTATTTCAAGATTTTTTGGAAAAAGTCATTTCAAGCCAAAACTATGAGAGAAAATTCATTTCTAAGTAAAAATATCGATGAACTAGATCACATTCATTAAATCAGAACAGATTATGCATTGCATTTCCGTTTAATAAAAACGCACTGCTCATTTTTCAAAACTGGCTCCAACTTGGAGCCAGTTTACAAATCAGCTCGCTCCATCTTACACAAGCTATGTAGAGGCAATCTAGCAACTGGGAATCACGGGATACTGTCTCACGATTATTTTTATGTGAATTATGCATCTTATTCTCGTATAATTGCATTTTCCGTTTAATAAAAACGCACCGCTCATTTTTCAAAACTGGCTCCAAGTTGAAATGACTTTTTGCAAAAAATCTTAAAATAAGTTACAATTTTACGTATTTTTCAGTTTTTTCTCATTTTCATGCAAATTATACGAGAATAAGATGCATAAAGCACATTGAAATGATCGTGAGACAGTATCCCGTGATTAACAGTTGCTAGATTGTCCCTACATAGCTTGTGTAAGATGGAGCGAGCTGATTTGTTAACTGGCTCCAAGTTGGAGCCAGTTTTGAAAAATGAGCGATGCGTTTTTATTAAACGGAAATGCAATGCATAATCTATTCTGATTGAGTGAACGTGATCTAATTCATCGATATTTTTACTTAGAAATGAATTTTCTCTTATAGTTTTGGCTTGAAATGACTTTTTGCAAAAAATCTTGAAATAAGTTACAATTTAACGTATTTTTCAGTTTTTTCTAATTTTCAGGCCAATTATACGAGAATAAGATGCATAATTCACATAAAAATAATCGTGAGACAGTATCCCTTGATTCCAAGTTGCTAGATTGCCCCTACATAGCTTGTGTAAGATGGAGCGAGCTGATTTGTAAACTGGCTCCAAGTTGGAGCCAGTTTTGAAAAATGAGCGGTGCGTTTTTATTAAACGGAAATGCAATGCATAATCTATTCTGATTTAGTAAACGTGATCTAATTCATCGATATTTTTATTTAGAAATGAATTTGCTCTCATAGTTTTGGCTTGAAATGACTTTTTGCAAAAAATCTTGAAATAAGTTACAATTTAACGTATTTTTCAGTTTTTTCTCATTTTCAGACCAATTATACGAGAATAAGATGCATAATTCACATAAAAATAATCGTGAGACAGTATCCCGTGATTCCCAGTTGCTAGATTGTCCCTGCATAGCTTGTGTAAGATGGAGCGAGCTGATTTGTAAACTGGCTCCAAGTTGGAGCCAGTTTTGAAAAATAAGCGATGCGTTTTTATTAAACGGAAATGCAATGCATAATCTATTCTGATTGAGTGAACGTGATCTAATTCATCGATATTTTTAATTAGAAATGAATTTTCTCTTATAGTTTTGGCTTGAAATGACTTTTTGCAAAAAATCTTGAAATAAGTTACAATTTTACGTATTTTTCAGTTTTTTCTCATTTTCATGCAAATTCTACGAGAATAAGATGCATAATGCATATAGAAATGATCGTGAGACAGTATCCCGTGATTCCCAGTTGCTAGATTGTCCCTACATAGCTTGTGTAAGATGGAGCGAGCTGATTTGTAAACTGGCTCCAAGTTGGAGCCAGTTTTGAAAAATGAGCAGTGCGTTTTTATAAAACGGAAATGCAATGTATAATCTGTTCTGATTTAGTGAACATGATCTAATTCATCGATATTTTTACATAGACTTCAATTTTCTCTTATTGTGTTGACTTGAAATGACTTATTGCAAAAAATCTTGAATTATGTTATAATTTTACATATTTTTCAGTTTTTCCTTATTTTCATGCAGATTATACGAGAATAAGATGCATAATCCACATCAAAATGATCGGGAGACAGTATCTCGTGATTCCCAGTGGCTAGATTGTCCGTTAATAGCTTGTGTTTAATGGTGCGAGCTGATTTGAAAACTGGCTCCAAATTGGAGCCAGTTTTGAAAAATGAGCGGTGCGTTTTTATTTAACAGAAATACAATGCATAATATTTTTGGAATTGATGAACGTGATCAAATTCATCGATATCCATGCTTAGAATTCAATTTACCCGTATAGTTTTGCAAAAATATGACAATATAAACTATATTCAAAGGCCATCTTCTTCAGTACGTCAGTAAGTAAGAAGCCAGTTTTAAAAGCCGGCTTCTTGGTGACTCCAGAAGCCGGCTTCTGTTGTCCTTCAGAAGCCGGTTTTTAAAAGCCGGCTTCTTGTTGACTGTAGAAGCCGGCTTCTGTAGTACGTAAGAAGCCAGTTTGTAAAAGCCGGCTTCTTGGTGACTCCAGAAGCCGGCTTCTGTTGTCCTTCAGAAGCCGGCTTTTAAAAGCCGGCTTCTTGGTGACTCCAGAAGCCGGCTTCTGTAGTACGTAAGAAGCCAGTTTGTAAAATCGGATTTTGCCTTCGAGTACTTCTGAATTAACCAGGCGATATTTCATTTTGATTAATCCATCTCATGAATTTAAGTCAGAATGTTAGAATGACATGAAACTATCTATTGGCTATCTTACTTCGTATCTAGACGTCGCCTAAATACATTATTGTGATATGCAATGAATCTAACACTATATTTCTTGTTTGACTTGTATTCTTTTGGATTATATCTAAGATGAACTTTTCTTCCTCTTAGATTACTGTATTGATGTCGGAGATGAGGATAGATGTTCTAATAATATTGGCGGCATTTAATATCACGTGGCATTGATATGCACTTTAAAGAGAAGAAATGTGACAAACGTTCTTTAAGAACAACATCTACCAATTTACTTAGCAAAGCATTTACAGAATTTCCACTGTAATTAAATTCCAGGCTGTGTTCTAATGCAAGCTTTCGTGCTATGATATCGATGTGTATTTAAACATTAATCAAACAAAAGCAAAATATAAATAATGTACATTGGTGAATATACTAAGTGCCGGTTGATAAAACAACAAATGTGCATTCTAATATGAAAGCAAGTGGACCTATATGAAAACAAATAGGTGTGATGCGGTGCTGTGCAGTGCTAGATTAAAGTCATAATTCAAGAGAAGACCTTCGGAATAAACCAGACAAGAAATTGCTTGAAGAATTAAATACTTCTTTCACAATCAGTATGAAGATCAAATTAAACTAATGGACATATAAATTCAGTTCCTCGAATTGCAGAAAATGTAATTTTGTCTCTAAATAACGTCTATAAATACTAGCCATCGGTGCAATGGACGGTGAAAATGTAAAGGTTCTAATCAATCACGTGACCATGCATAAAAAGATTTATTTTAGCCATGAGCCACGATTTCCACCAACCGAATGGGAAATATCAATCAAAAATACCATCATTCACGTAACTCTCCCTATACATGTAGCTGTCATCGAAAACTGAAAAAATTTACATTAGTATATATTGATCACAAAGCACCATATTGCGTTTTTGATGATATGAGCAGTTACATGTAATCTATTAGTGTCAGCAAATACAATCTAACATTTTGTGATTCACGTGTCATCTATTACAATAGAACAAATGAATTATACATGTGTTGATATATAGAGCACTCACGGACATGGCCATTATGAGCTAAACTAATCAATTGTAGCTTTTTTCTTTAGCCGCAGAATCTGTTCGTAAAATTAAAGTTAATTATTGTTCGATATTAATTATGTTTCCATTATCTGATAAACTGTAATTACCTGAGTGTGGCGGATAAATTGTGTACGTATCTATCTTGTCTGCAGAGGTGGAATTGGGACACATGACCCTTTTGTCTCCGCCAAGGGCAATTTCATCGAGAACTTCAGCAGGGTAGGTATATGGGTTACTGATACCCCTGCAGAGGCAATGCCCACACACGAACTCAGTGGAGTACCTTGCCAGGACGCTATCTTGGAGGATATGTGACAGTTTGTAGTATATGCGCAGGAAGAGACGCCATACATCAGCTGGTTCATTCCCTCTGGCTGCCAACGTAACGACGCGCTTTCCATCTATTATTGAGCGTTGCAAGAGAACCTTCTCTGTATTGAATACTCCATAGACGCCATCTCTCCATCTGTAACGTAGTTTCGCGACCTGCTGCATCATCACAGACGACTTCTCGTAGAAGCCAATGGGGTTTTTCGTTTCAAAGATCAGTTTGACTTCAATGTGAACAGGTTCGGGAGACAACTCTGGCCATTTGTCGTTGACGCCTCGAGGTTTGGGTACGGATATCAGGAATGGAAAACAATATACTTTATGGGAATCTGGAGTAAATCCACTGGCTCTCACTGGATAACACAGATTGAAAGCTTGCATCAGAGTTAAGAGAATCTTGTGGGTGTTTTCATCGAGATTTCTATCAGCCCAAAAGCATTTTAAGAATGACCTTGGCATCTCCCCGTCCTGAAGTAAGCTCCGGACCATTGAATCGTATTTCTGTGGTGTCAAATTCAGGGTTGTCTGAAATTTCTCCTTGTTCGTTTGAAGGTACTGGTGAAGATCGTGTCTGAACATCCCTCGTAACATCTCCACAACATCTACTGGTTTGTGAAAGATCACTTGCTTTAAGAGGTCATCATGTGAGTACCAAAGAATGTCCCCAATCTGGTGAAGGTATGCCAAAGCTGGTTGAAGTTGACTCTCGTATAATTTTGCTTTCTTTGTACACAGATGTACATCTAACCATGGTAGGTATATGTTAGAACTTCGACCAACATCTGAATCATGGACAGATTCCTGAAGTGCTATCCAGGACATAGGTAGGGTCCTCTTAGAGAACAATTTCACATCGTTTGACATGTCACAGAGATCCAGAGTCAATGCCTTGACACCTGTAAGTTTCTCAGCGGAACTGATCACATCGACTTTCTCTGGAAGCCTGGGCCTGTTTTCCAAGATGTACTGGAGATGGGCTCTTTGGACATTCAAACCATCTGGTGTAAGGACTTGAGTTTTTAAATTACTGTCATATTCATTCATTTTTCTGTCAACAAGTGCGATTTTTTCTTTTGTGGCTTTGACAAACTCCTGTTCATATCTCTTCAAATGGGTCATGATCTTTTTTGTCTTTGCTTGGATCTTTTGTTTCTTGCAGAGATCACTGTGTGTGGCGACTATTTTAAACACAGCATTCGGGACATGCGCTGATACCAACTCGATCCAATCCTGGATGGGTGTGGGATATTTAGTTTCATTGTAGATGCTAATGTCAAACACAATTAGGTAAATGGACTCGGGAGTGAGGAAGAATTGATGTGACATCGTGTAGACATCATGACCACCAAAATCGTTGACTTGGAATTTAACATCTTCACTTGGAGACCAAAGTCTTTGTTCCAGTACTCTTGTCCTCTCTTCCAATGTGGTGAGTTTCGATTTACCATACAATATTGCGTTTGCCAAGCTCGTCTTCCCGGCGCATGTTTCGCCTACAAGAATAAGCTTCCGTCTTGAGGCATTTGCTGCTCTCGTGTATCGCATTTCTTTCATGTAATGGAATATTGCCTCCCTACCTGCCTTACATACTGCAGGTGGTGGTTCCACCATATTATCATCATCCATAATCAGTCCCGCAGCTCCTGCTACCCATTTGAACCTGTTTGGATCCAACTTTACCAGTTTATCAACATCTCTGGGGAGATTTGTGACATTATTGAACCTGATATTTAGTGTTTTGAGGTTGAACAGCCGACATATGTTTACTGGAATCTCTTGGATATAATTCCCGGACAAGGTCAGTTCTTGCAATCTCACCAAGTTTCCTATTTCGTTGGGTAACTCGGGAATGCAGTTATTGTCCAAGTGGAGAAGACGTAATCGCTTGGACTCACAAAGCACATTTGGGAATTCCTGCAGCTCATTGTTCTTCAGATCCATCTCCTCTAAATCTCTCCATCCAGCATCCAGCTTTGATATCTTATTATCAGATAATGTTACCCTCCGAGCATATTTCATAGTCGGTATCGCCACTAATTTGTTTTTACTCATGTTAAACACAGTAAGTTTGGATGCAGTGATGTCATCATGAATTTCTACAATAGCATTGCTGGACATGTCGAGATTTTGGAGTGATTCCAGTTTGCAGACGACAGATGGGAACTGTTTAAAATCATTCCCAGATAAGGACAGATTACGTAGCTTCTCCATGAGTTTAACATTCAAAGGTATATGCTTCAATTTGTTCTGTCCAAGAAGTAGGATTTCAAGTGTTTTAATCTGACAGACAGCTTCTGGGAACAGTCCCAGTTTATTGTTACTGACATCTAATTTCTTCAACGGCAGCTCTCCAACCTCAGGAGCCAAATCCAAGAGTTTGTTGTCATGGAGATCCAAGACTCGCAGATTTTTCAATTTTTTCACTGAAGATGATATTTTTGTCATGTCATTTTTGGCAAGATCTAGTACTTCCAAATGTGGTAGTTTTGTAAGAATATTCGGGAAGGTTGTCATGGTTGTGGCTTCCAGGTAGAGTTCCTTGAGGTCTTTCATATCCAAAATGGCTTCAGGAATCATGGAGAAGTTATTCTCCGATGCATTGAGGCATGTTAGATTTGTCATCTTGCATACACTCTCTGGGAATAAGGTCATCCCCAAGTCATGGATATCGAGCTCTCGTAGCCGTTTCAGTTCTATAATTGATGAGGAGATAAAGAGGATGTCATTTCCTGAGATGTCCAGCACTTCTAGTGGCTCTATGCTTGACAGAACTTCTGGGTATTCATTCAGCTTGTTGCCTCCTAATATGAAGGTCTTCAAATGACTCAGCTCTGCGAGGTCATCGTCCAGATTCTTGATGTAATTATGCGAAGCATTGACATGTTCGAGATTACTGCATTTGTTTAAATCCTTGGGAAGAGCGTCGAGTGATGTGTTTTCCAGGGACAGCCATTTCAAATTCTGAAGGCTGCTGATGCATCTATCATAAACATGGTAAAGTGATGTATTCTTGGAAATGTCTAGGTACTGTAATTGAGACATGAAATTCAACACTCTTGGCCATGGTGCTAATCGATTGAATCTCAGGTTCAAAAATTGAAGTTTTCTGAATTCCCTCAAGTATTGTGGTAATTTTCTTAACATGTTGTTCTCCAGATCAAGATAGTTGATAGCCTTACATTTGATTATGTTTTCTGGCAGGTGAACGAGTGCACTATCCCGACAACTCAAATACTCTAGTCCTGTCAGATTCCCAATATGCTCAGGTAATTTTCTGATCCAATTACAGTCTAGTCTTAGAGCTTGTATTTCTTTAAGATTTGACACAGCATCGGGAAGCTCTAATAAATTCTCAGAGGATGCATCAAGCTCAAGTAATCCTTTCTCATTTTTCCTCAATCTATTTCTCAAGTGATCTTCCTCCCATTCAATGTTGTCTAAAAATTCGTACGAATCGCCACTGAAGGAACTCCGGCTGCTATATATGCTTAGATTGCTTTCACTGCGAAGGTGTTTTATTGGAGTTGTGCTCATAAGATAACTTGAATCAAATTGAGACCCAAACGCATCACTTCCAGCGCTCCAGCGCCATTTATAAGCTCCGGGAGAAATTGTTGGCGATGTCAAATCTCTGTTAAGCATCTCATCGCTGACTGTGATGGATATTGGATTAGTTGCTGAAGGACGTGTGTGTGGTAGACTTGCATACTTCCTATCATCTGGTCCCTCAGAGTAGGCTCTTTGAGATGGAGAAAAGCCTTCTTCTGTTGTCCATTGTTCATCTTCACCAAGGGAATCTCTTGAACCACCCAACTCGGATTTGACCCATGTTCTTATTCCCGAGGCATACTCACTACCAACGTTAGTGTTTATACGCTTAGGGTCACCTCCCCTTGTTTTTGTACTAATTGGAGATGTGCGGCCTGAGCCAGGACGGGATCTGGTGACTCCTGCTGCTGGGCTCCAAGGCCTCACAGGTGATATCTTACTCGCTGATTTAGGTGTGATGGGACCGGATGCATCACTTCCACCTGATAAACGCTGACCTGGATTGGACGCAGCAGAATTCCAAACAAACACTGGTGACAATGGCGATCCCTCCAAGTGGTGTGGGTCAAAGGGGAAGTTCCCTTCTTCATCCTCTAGAGATAACCTTTTAGGATTAACTGTAATGACTGTCTCTTTCTTGGGTCCATATTTAGTATTATCTTCATGGTTTTGATACAATAATGCTCTTTTGACAGCATCTGAATCATCTTCAATACTCCTGGGAGATTTCAGACGTCTGTCCTGTTCACGTAATAAAGACTGCTCTGTTAAACTTGACCAGCTCTCAAGTTGGGATTTTAGATGTTCATCCGTCTCCCCTGCAAGAGAATGTTTCTGTGCTTTAGAGCTTGAAGCAGTTTTTAGTCCTCGTTGCCTTTTAGTGAATTCCTTGGTTGTAGTTGTCGTGTATTTTGTCGTGAATTCTGTAGTTTCGTCCATTGTTTCGAAATCATCTTCTTCCTCGCCAATAGAGGCTCTGTGAAGTTTTCTCCTTATCTTACCATCAACCTGTTTAGATTTGTTTATGCTATCGAGATCTAAGGTTTTTGGAAGAGTTGGGACTCTTGCTATTTCCTCAGTTGAATAATCAGTGGCTTGTGGCTTAGATTTAGCACTTCGGACTGGTGTTTCAATTGCTTTTTGGTGAGTTCTTGGATGGATATTGTACTCAGAAGTAGTTATAGTTGTATACTTCGTAGTTTCCTCACTCGTTTCACTGGTTGTTTCCTCATCCTGATCCTCTATTACACTCTGCTGAGCTCCACGAGTGACATTCTTTGCATTACCCTTTGAAGCGTTTCCATAATCAGGCTTGCCATCATCTGTTATCTTATTATCAGAAGTTGGTACCAATGTTAAATTAGTGTCAGTAGTTGGTTGTTTCTTCACTTTCGAAACTACTTTTGTCCTCACAGCGTCACTCTCAGTCACAGATTTTGTTAGTGTATTGGTTGCGATCATCTCTTTACTTGACGTATGTTCTGATGAGGGAATGTCATTAACTGTGTCCACTGTATCATCCTCCTCCACTGTAGTTGCGTCGAACGCGATGATTTTGCCTGTGGTGTTTTTATTCTTTTTACGCTGTTTTTTACTCTTTTTACCCGTGGATGCATCGATTTCTTCTGTTCTTTCAGTTAAGGGGCTAACTGTAGCTGCTTTGCGCCCTTTGGATGGTGATATTTTTTCAGAGGGGTTGTCAGTAGTTGACACAGGAGTTGTTTCTGTAACCTTAGGTGTTATGGTTTGAGCAACAATTGGAGAATCACCATGTTTCGTCGTTGTACTCCGAACAGCAGGTGGATTTTCTATACTAACTTTATCCTGACCAGTAGATGTCTCACTTTGTGACAATTGCTGATCTTTAAAGCCAGGACGTGAAGACACACTTTCTGCTGTACCAGTCAAACCCTCGCTGCTTACTCCAAACTGTTTGGTTGAAGATGTTTTAACTGTTGACAAAGATGAGTCATAAATAGCCTGACTATCAAGTTCTTCACCAACGATTTGCCTTCGTTCTCCTACACGTTCTGTATCTTCGTCAAGTGGTCCAATCTTTCCCTTTCCAAGCACAGTCGGGTGCTGTGAAGAAGCTTTAACAACTTTCGTTTTTACTCCAATGCTTTCTTGTTTTATATCAGGGATGCTCTCTTTATCTGTAGTTACTTCAGAGATAACTGTTGTTGTAATTGTTTTTGTTTCAGCTGAACCAAATGGTCTAGTGTGTTTTTGATGTGCTTTGTTCATCAAATTATCTGACGCCAGGCTTACTTCTAGTTCCTCAGACTGCACAACATCACTAACGTTCACCTCGGCATTAGCATGTTCAATTGATACTATATTTCCCGTACCTTGTGTGTTAGGCTTGGTAGATTTTGCATATTTCATATTGGACTTTTCAATTTCTTCACTTAACTTTTCACCCTTGTGCTTAGATTTTTCTGTTATTATCTCAGTAATAACTGATCTCAGTGATTCGCTGGATGCATTTGACCTAGGGAGCTCCTTTGTTGTTGCGCTGGGCAGCACCTCACACGTTGTAGTATCAGTGACATCTAGAGAGTCGGTAGGTACGTTAGAATATGAAACTGTTTCTTCTTTAGTGTCCTGTGAGGTTATCATCGATGAACCAATTGTTTGGGTTACATTTGCAGTAACTCTTCCAAGTGGTCCATTCTTTACAACATCAATGACTCTAGGTACGCTTGTATCAATACTTGTGTCAGTTCTTAAAGTAACAATCTCACTTGGAGTGTCCACTACTTGTGTCCCGACAACTGACTCAGTTGAAATGGTTTGGGGTACTGCTAATTCATCAGATTCCTTGATATCCACCTCAGTGGCCTTATTGTCCTTTGGCGTTTGTTGATCAGCCGATTCAGTCAGGATTTCAGTCTGTTGAATGCCTGCAGAGGACACTGTTTGTTTAGACGTATATTGATCTCCTGTACCAAGATCATTTTGGGATACGTCATGTACGTTTGCAATCATTCCAATACGAGAAGACCCTTCCAGTTCAGCTTCAACGACCTCTATACTCCCATTCGTGTTTGTACCAACTGCTGCTATGCCCCTTTGTACCACCTTCGATGGCGTTGCTCTTTTGATTGAGCCTTCACGTTTAATATCAGACACATTTCCCTTCTCTGATATTACAGCTTTATGCCTTTGTGTTGTAGTTTCTAAATTTTCTGTTGATGTTATCGTTTCTACCTTCGTTTCGGTTATGGATGCAGTTATTCTTCCAACATACTGATCGTCTACGTTACTCAATACACCTTCACTCGATTGATCATTTCCTTTTCTATCTACAACCTGTTCACCTTCTACAGATTCAGAGCCAATATGAGCAACACCCATTTGGCATGGTTTAGACGATGATACATTCTTAAAAGAACCCTCTCTTTTGATATCTGATACAGTACCCTTCTCTGGTTTTATAGATGAACCTTTCTGTGTTGCTGTTTCATATTTACTGTCATCAATTTTTGAATCAATTTGAGCAATGCCTCTTTGTTTATATGGCCTCGATAATGATGCCTTTTTTATGGAACCCTCACGTTTGATATCTGATACCATCCCCTGTTCAAATGGCACATCCTCATCCTTCACTTTGGCTGTATCTTCCTTAACATCAGACATATCGACTGCAGCAACACCAAGTTTCTGATATGGTTTAGACTGATTGGCTTTCTTGATAGACCCTTCTCGTTTGATAGCTGATATCTTTCCTTGTTCGAATGTAACATCAGGGTCTTCAACATTGATTGCTTCTTCCTTCTGTTCAGATGATGTATTGACTGCAGCCACACCACGTTTCTGATATGGTTTAGACTGATTGGCTTTCTTGATAGACCCTTCCCGTTTGATAGCTGATATCTTTCCTTGTTCGAATGTAACATCAGGGTCTTCAACATTGATTGCTTCTTCCTTCTTTTCAGATGATGTATTGACTGCAGCCACACCATGTTTCTGATATGGTTTAGACTGATTGGCTTTCTTGATAGACCCTTCCCGTTTGATAGCTGATATCTTTCCTTGTTCGAATGTAACATCAGGGTTTTCAACATTTATTGCTTCTTCCTTCTGTTCAGATGATGTATTGACTGCAGCCACACCAAGTTTCTGATACGGTTTAGATTGGTTAGCTTTCTTGATAGACCCTTCCCGTTTGATAGCTGATATCTTTCCTTGTTCGAATGTAACATCGGGGTCTTCAACATTGATTGCTTCTTCCTTCTGTTCAGATGATGTATTGACTGCAGCCACACCACGTTTCTGATGTGGTTTAGACTGATTGGCTTTCTTGATAGACCCTTCCCGTTTGATAGCTGATATCTTTCCTTGTTCGAATGTAACATCGGGGTCTTCAACATTGATTGCTTCTTCCTTCTGTTCAGATGATGTATTGACTGCAGCCACACCAAGTTTTTGATATGGTTTAGACTGATTGGCTTTCTTGATAGACCCTTCCCGTTTGATAGCTGATATCTTTCCTTGTTCGAATGTAACATCAGGGTTTTCAACATTGATTGCTTCTTCCTTCTGTTCAGATGATGTATTGACTGCAGCCACACCACGTTTCTGATATGGTTGAGACTGATTGGCTTTTTTGATAGACCCTTCCCGTTTGATAGCTGAAATCTTTCCTTGTTCGAATGTAACATCAGGGTTTTCAACATTTATTGCTTCTTCCTTCTGTTCAGATGATGTATTGACTGCAGCCACACCAAGTTTTTGATATGGCTTAGACTGATTGGCTTTCTTGATAGACCCCTCCCGTTTGATAGCTGAAATCTTTCCTTGTTCGAATGTAACATCAGGGTTTTCAACATTTATTGCTTCTTCCTTCTGTTCAGATGATGTATTGACTGCAGCCACACCAAGTTTTTGATATGGTTTAGACTGATTAGCTTTCTTGATAGACAATTCTCGTTTGATAGCTGATATCTCTCCTTGCTCGGATGTAACATCGGGATCTTTAACATTGACTGCTTCCTCCTTCTGTTCAGATGATGTATTGACTGCAGCCACACCAAGTTTCTGATATGGTTTAGACTGATTAGCTTTCTTGATAGACCCTTCTCGTTTGATAGCTGTTATCTCTCCTTGCTCAAATGTTACATCAGGGTCTTTAACATTAACTGCTTCTTCCCTCCGTTCGGAAGATGTATTGACTGCAGCAACACCAAGTTTCTGATATGGTTTAGACTGATTAGCCATCTTGATAGACCCTTCTCGTTTGATAGCTGATATCTCTCCTTGCTCGGATGTAACATCGGGATCTTTAACGTTGACTGCTTCTTCCTTCTGTTCAGATGATGTATTGACTGCAGCCACACCAAGTTTCTGATATGGTTTAGACTGATTAGCCATCTTGATAGACCCTTCTCGTTTGATAGTTGATACCTCTCCTTGCTCGGATGTAACATCGGGATCTTTAATATTGACTGCTCCCTCCTTCTGTTCAGATGATGTATTGACTGCAGCCACACCAAGTTTCTGATATGGTTTAGACTGATTAGCTTTCTTGATAGACCCTTCTCGTTTGATAGCTGTTATCTCTCCTTGCTCAAATGTTACATCAGGGTCTTTAACATTAACTGCTTCTTCCCTCCGTTCGGAAGATGTTTTGACTGCAGCAACACCAAGTTTCTGATATGGTTTAGACTGATTAGCCATCTTGATAGACCCTTCTCGTTTGATAGTTGATATCTCTCCTTGCTCGGATGTAACATCGGGATCTTTAACGTTGACTGCTTCTTCCTTCTGTTCAGATGATGTATTGACTGCAGCCACACCAAGTTTCTGATATGGTTTAGACTGATTAGCCATCTTGATAGACCCTTCTCGTTTGATAGCTGATATCTCTCCTTGCTCGGATGTAACATTGGGATCTTTAACGTTGACTGCTTCTTCCTTCTGTTCAGATGATGTATTGACTGCAGCCACACCAAGTTTCTGATATGGTTTAGACTGATAAGCTATCTTGATAGACCCTTCTCGTTTGATATCTGACAGCACTCCTTGTTCAGTCTTGCACTCCTTGCTCAGTCTTGCAGTGACTATCTGTGTGGTAGTCTCATCTTTAGCAGTGCTTTCATTGTCTACCGAACCAACGCCCAATTTCTGATAGTTCTTAGATGCTGTAGATTTTTTGAAGGGACCCTCCGTCTTAATATCAGAAACAATCCCTTCTTCTAATTCAACGTGTATATCGTGTTGTGCTGCACTTTCATCTTTTGATATTGAATCAATCTGTGCAATACCCATTTGTTTGTTTAGTTTAGATGAAGATGCATTCTTTATTAGTTCCTCGCTTGCGATATTTGTTACTGACCCTTTCTCTGGTTTAAATTCAATATCATTTCCTCTTGCTGTTTCAAAATTAGTTATTTCCCTAGTATCAACATACATTTCGACATTTGATTTTGTAACTTTATCTGTTATTTGGGCGATTGTTCCATCAGTTATATTTGCCTCCTGGGTTTGTATTACCACCTTTCCAGTAATTTCATCTCCGAGGGACTCTTTTCCAATTACCGTTTCCCCTGCATGCATAGAAGGTTTAGAACCAATGGCTTTCTTAAAATATCCCTTTTGATTGATATCAGATACATCTCCCTCTGCTATCCTTCCATCTTTAGTTACTCTCTCAATGGTTTCTACACCCTGTGTCCCAAAAGCTAGGTCTGTTTGCATAGTTGGTTGAGAATTCGTTTTATTTTTGTTACCTTTATTATTATCATCAATGGCCTGCTTTGCGTTAATCGATGAAGTCTCGTCCACAGTGGTAGTTTCAATTGATGGCATGTCCATTGGTTTAGACTGAACTATCTGGTTTCGCAATTCATTCTGTCCTGTCTTGTCCAAATATCCTGTAAGTTGTGGGGTGTCCTTGGCGTAGCTTGCTGTGACTTCTTCTGATCTATCCTCATTTTCACCAGCCTCGGACGGACTAATATGTTTAATGGGCGGGGCCTCAATGAATGCTTTTCCTTTTAAATGTACTGGCGGCTCAACCGTTTTCACAACATCCTTATCTTTAACAGCTAAATCTGGTGATTTACATTCCGCTGACTGTTTAACAGAAGGGTCCTCAACATTTGCCAAGTTGTTTCTACTATTAAGTATACTAGTTACAACATTTTTTAGAGAATCATTTTGTTCACCATCTGACGTGTCTTTAAGCATTTTATTGTCTTTTGATTCCACTACATTTCCGTTAACTGAAACAATAGTAGTGTGTTCCGTTGTTACTCTGGTTACTGTCTTAGTTGGTGGAGATTTAATCCGTTCTTCATCAAGATTGAGTACATCAGACTGGCCACTTGAATCAACAAATTTCTCTTGGTCATCCTGTTGAGAAAGTTTATTTGAGATGGTTGCTTCATTAGTCATAGCTCTTATGGTGTCATCTATACACCTTGACGCAGCTTCACTCAATTCATGAATTTCCTCTGTGTGAGTTGTAACTTTACTTTCCCTAGAGTGTTGAACACCGGGTGTTCGTTCAGTGTCTTCATACGAATTCTCGACTACTTTACTCGTGACCTTTGATGATGATAAACCGTATGGATCTTCTTTAAGTTCAATAGATGGCACTTCGTCTACAGATGTTTCAATTGTTTTTGATGGTGTACCATAATAACCATACACGAGTCCAAGCAAACTCTCTCTTTTGTCATCTGTCACTACGATATCCTTTCTGTCAATTTCTTTATCAGTTATTTTTACATTGCTAACATCTGATGGGATTTCTTTTCTTTTAGATGGCCTTTTCCTTAAATCAACTTCATTTTCCTTATCAAACAAAACTCGAGGCGACTTTTTAACTTTGTCTAGACCTTTGATATCTTCACCTGACATAATTCTAGGGTATCTGACTTTTTGCTCTGAAGACACAGGTGTGAAAGGTAAATCTGCGTCAACAATTGAATAAGGAGGTGGAGATTGAGGGAGAGGAGGGGGTTCAATATTATTTGTATCTTGAGCTGATACCTTTTTACTCTTGTTCTTGCTCTTAACTTCATCCCTAGGGGACTCACCCAAGGATGTATCAAACATTGTAGCACCTACTTTATCATCGAGATGAATACTGAACCTTGTACTTTTAGTTGGCGTCTCAGATCCATCTGGCTCTTCTTTGTGACGCTTTAACACTTTTGTATCAACGATGGTCGGTTCTGCAGTGGATGATGTAACAGTGGTCTTGCTAATTTCAGACGATTTTGATGTTTTGGATGGTTCTTCAAGGGATATACTTGCAGAATTGCGGAAGCTGGCCCTTAGAGAAGTCTGAGCTAGGTTAGCGTCCTTAAGACCGGAAAAGGCACCAGTATGAAAGGAATCAAGATCAGGATTGCCGGCGTCCTCTGTTCCGTCGGTATAATGCATAGGTTTATCAATGGCACCAATTTTATACTGCACCTTTCTATCACCCTGGTTTATAGGTTCAGTGGGACTTTGACCAGGGATTACTGCATTTGAATCATAAGCATCATCATTATCATCCTCAATAACACGCCTTGTCTCACCAATAAAGCCTGGACTTATGACTACACCTGAGCCATCTATGACTACGCCGACAGTTTCGTCATCTGATTCCTCACTATCATACGTTTTGGATACGTCATAACTACCAGTCACCTCGTCACTGTCTGAATCTCCTTCTTCATAATCACTTGCATCTGAATCATCATCACTCGGCTCTCTGGATGCTTTCTCGTCTCGTGTTTCATCCATAACTGGTTCCTGTTCATCATCAACTGAATTAACGTCAGTGGAAGGTTTATGTTTTTTTATCATCTCTTCAGAAGTGTTGGTTGATGATTTAACGTATTTGTAACTCTTACCCCCTACAAATCTAGTAACAGTCCTTTTAGTGATTCCTGTGACTTTGCTGTTTGGACCTGCAGTAACAATTATATCACCATCCTCATTTGGCTCTAGATCATATGTCTCTTCAAGTTCCATAACTTCTCTCTCAGTGTCTACCCTTTCATCATTCTCCTCTTCATCTATTTCGTAATCTTTCTTGGTGTCAATTAATTCATATTTCTCACCATCTTCAACTCTGGTTATCACAATTTTAGCTGGCGTAATGTTATCTTTAATAGCGTTCTCTGCAGCAAGTTTATCAACGTCCATGGTATATTCTTCATTTGGCAACTCTTCTGGATTTGAATGTGTTTCTTCTTCAACGTCAGGTAAAACACGGGATAATTTATAACTTTTATTCACAGTCCTTATGATTTTTGATTTGATATTAGATTGCGTGCCAGCTCCCTCGTCACATTCTACAGACTGGAGAACGTACTCCTCCTCACTTGCATCCATATCTTCGGTAGATTCTGCAATCTCCGTATCAACTGGAATAAATTGATATCTGGCACAAATGTTAGACTGGACAACTGAGGCATCAGTATCAGCCTCAAATTCGGAAATCTTACGATCAGTTTTCATCCCTGAATCTTCTGTAATATTTTCGGTTCTCGGCATGTCCGTATTTTTGCTTGGAATAGTAGCAGTATCAATTGGCATAACAAAGTCTTGTTTCACAAGAATGAATTTAGCACCATCGCCGACATGAACTACGTTCATTGTTGAGTTTATGTTTTTCAAACTAGCGAGCTTTTCAATATTTTGGAGTTCTTTAATATTTTCTTGATTTTGAGATCCTGGGTCCAATATATATTCTTCTATTTTAGAAGTCTCCTCTGGTGTGTTTTGGTTCAATATATTTTCCTCGATGGTTGTCTTTACTCGGACCAGGGTAAATTTAGTGGTACCTATTCTCACAACCTTTTTATATTTATATGTTGGGTGGGTATCTGGTATAATAGCACCTCCAATTTCAGGGTCAGGCATTATTTGCGTTTGCGTTGGTTCATCAATACGATGTTTAACATAATCCACGATGAACTCTCCCGTTGCATTGTCAGTTTCACTGTCAGGTTTCACATTGTACGTGCCATCTTTATTAACAGAGTCTATATCTGATAATTTCACAAATCTATACCTCGATCCCGGTTTTATAGATGGCAAGCCATGTTCTAAAAGTGCAGGGTCTTTTTCATCAAAGAATGTCATTACTTGTGGATTACCATCATTGCTTTGATCACTTACTGGGATCTTAACGAGTGCATATTTTTCTCCAGTGTCATTACTGCTTATCACAACACCATCCTTGGCGTTGTCGGGATCTGTGTGATCGAAGTCGATTGTGAATTCATCAGAAGTTGCCTCGTCCTCTTGATCAGTTAAAGTTGTTGTGTCAGTGGTAACTTTCGTAAACACATATCTCTTACCGTCTATGAACACAATTTTCTTACGAACACGTCTGTTTTTCTCGACATTCACGTCGGGTTTTTCTGAGACATACTCCAACATATATTCTTCATCTTGTTGCGGTGACGTTTCATTTGCGATATTTGGCTTAACTGAAGTGATAATTTCTGTTCTCGAGGTTGTGACTAGTTTGACGAATTTGTATTTTCTCCCAATAATAATCCGTTTGAGAATCTTCTTTCGCTTTTGGGCGATAACTTGTTGTTTAGGGGAATCAGTCTGGGCTAACCCCGTCCCTATTTCCCCATTGGTATGTTCGAAAGGTTTAAGTTGATCAGCCCTTGAAGCCTTGTGTCCCGGCGACTGGTTAAAGTCTATAATTCGAAAGTCTGTGTCACCCTCTTTATAATCAGTATTCATTTTGTCGAAATGGTTTGGATTTTCACGCCTGATTTCCTTAGCCATTGGATGAAAGGCACTTATTTCCCCAGCTTCTATTGGATCAATTGGAACGAGCATGGTGTCAATATCAGAGTTTCTATCAGTCTCACCCTTCTTGCCCTTTTTCTTTTTCTTCTTTGCGTCAGCGCCATCCTTAGCTGGTGCCTTGGAGACATACGCTTTATCTTCATAGCTGAAAGAGTAAGAGGTAGTGTTAGAAAAAATTAAGAGACAGATAGATGGCTTTATATACGTTTGGTTTCATGTCTAGTTGTTTATGAATACCTGACATATGTAATTATACTTGCATATTGCATATTTACTAATACTGCACAGTATAGATCAGTATAGATCCATGATGATTGAACAGTGTGATTAACAAAGTGAATGATATGTTTTTTTAACTGTTAATTACGACAGATTGATTAGGAATGTAACGAAATACATTTAGATTTTGCCAAAGTAAGTTCTGCTTTACTCATTAATATTATTTAGATTGAAACATACCTGATAGTATAATCATCGTATCGTTTTTGGAGCTCAGTCACCTCAATCGACTTTCTATAGCTTGGCGTTCTCTTCAAGGATTCCCTGTCGCTATGCTCGCCATTCCCCAAGGGGTCACCACCAGGTGTCGCTGTGGGTGGTACAAACGTTTTTTTCGACTCAGTTGTCTCAACTGGTTCCTTTCCGCCCTTCTTCTTTTTCTTCTTCCGTTTGGATTTCTTGCCGGGTGGATCGACGTTGGTACCATCATTAGGACTACCCGGGGCGCCTATCCCTTCAATCTGCCCTCCTTCAACCGCTTGTTTTCCCTTGTGTTTGGGCTTTTTCTTGGGTCGTTTCTCTTCGTCAATATCCACCGGCTGTCCTTTGGCGCAACAGGTCCCCATCACGAGAATAGTAGCTGAAACAACACAGATTGTGAAACATATGGTTAGAATCTCGGAGTTATCATTCCATATTTCGAATACACCGTCCATTCTCTACCCGGTGGAAGACTTGATCTTTATGCATCTGCATATTACATAAATCTGATCAACAAGTGATATCTGATCATGATTTTTTCAATAAGTATTATGTCAATATATATCCAATATCCATATATAGCCTCGCCTACGTACAGTAGTGTTGAATAAACAGTAAAACATGAGGATCAAGATAGTTCTATCGATTAAAACAGGAGAACTCAATTTAATTCAAGACGTATTGAACTTAAATATTTATAATGCTGATCCTTAATATTCTATTAATTTTGTTGATGCACATCGTATGTTTATTGCAGTTGGACTGGCTTAATCAGTTTTATGGCAAGTTTTCATAAGCACATCTGAAATAAATATCTATTAAACATGTTAAAGAGGAGGATGTGAAGATGAGCCTTTAAGGCTATATTTCACATAAGAATGGCAGCTGGATTCCATACTGTGTCATATATTATCTAAAGAACCTTTTTAAATTATACATTATGCTTATCTTAGACTGAATAATTGGATCATTTATTACACGCTACAGTTCAATGCCTTGACATTCTTTTTATCGTTTCTGTTGATAATACTTCAATAGCGATTTGAATCAATAGTACTTGAAAATACTATATAGATGTATTTTTGTATATTGTATTTTAGAAATTTGAATGACGTCTTTTTACGTTCGGGATTATAAAACTATCAAAGAAGGTTTGTGGTAAACATGTTCATGGTCGTAATTTAATATTATAAACACATAAATAAAACTAACTTACCTCAATGTTACTGCCTTATTCTATAGCTCAATAACTAACTTTAAAAAAATAAATTATTCGCGAGTTTAACACTCGAATATACCGTGATCATAAAGTAATTAATATCCCACCTATGTCCAACTAACAACTAATGACATTGAAATGCTAAATAAGATGATACAAACCACGATTCAATTGAAATACTTTCTAAAATGGCAAACTTTATGTGTATGACTAGCTGGTAAGTTGTTATATGTTTGTTCGTGAGTAGCATCAAGTTAGCCGATGATGATGATGGAATGATTCGGTTATGCAAGTCAAGGTGGTGGAAATGATGCCCTCATAATAACTCTACCTCTATATACCTGAGGACTAACTGGTTAGTTATATCGTGAAAACACCTGGCGTGTTATCTTCATATACATATGATTAAAATTAATATAGCAGGTATATAGGCAGGTATATTTTCACCTATTTTCTTAAATTATACGTCAGCCCAAACACACGATCAACTTTTAATATTACACGCTTTTGTTCGGTCTCTACAGAATTCACAATGTATACATGAACTGCACTGTGGAAGACAACATGTTCTTCCTTTTTCCACTCCTTTTCGTAATTTCTGTTTGATTCTATTACATTGGATAATATGAAAATGGTTCAGAAACTAAATTTCTCCAAAGAGGCAGGTTCTAACATTTGGACTAATTAAACAGTTAATTAGCAGGTATAATTAGTAAACCTGCTAAAAGTGTTCACGTTAAAAATATGAAAATAAACGTTTTCGGAAAGAATTCCCATTCGAAAACGTGGACGTTTATCATTTCAAAACAATGTAATTGTATTTTATAAGCATCTATAATTGACGAGGTTAGAATTTTGGCGGTATATGGCGGACAGGTGGTTGTTTATGGCTAAGATACGCCCTTGAAACAACTAGGTTTCGTGTTTTACTAAGACTGTACGAATACATGAGTTATAGTCGGAGTCTTAAAAACGACCTAATTTTACTCAAAAACTATATAGTATCATCAATCATCAATTTTGCTCTCAAGTGGAGTGTCGGTCAATATACACAGGTACTCTAAGCTTCTCACCTTGTTAAATGTCTCAAAATCATCAAACAATTTTACACGCTCACTTTATTGCAGTTTGAAATTGTTGACTTTGTTTTCGTGTACTTTATTTTAGGGTTAGACTTTTTAATACGTTTTTTAACCTAAGTATGCGGATAAATCAAGACGAAAGCTCATAATCATAAATGTAAAACCGAATTCAATAAGGTATTGACATTATAAACCCACAGTAAATATACATTGTGCGAACTTGGGTTAGACTGACCTATATAAATGAGGAAACTGTTTACAACCCCATTTTTGATATTTTTATTCTTAAACTTTCAAAATTGAAAACATCTGACTTTATAATAGCTCACTGGTCGTTTTTATGGCGTTTTTCTTACAGTCTAATAAACCAGTTTATTTGTCATTTTTTAAGGAATGCTATACTTTAAGAGATCCTCAAACCATCTAAATGGTATATATATGAGCACAATCTCTTTTGAACGTGTACGAAACACAATTTACTTTCCAAATCATTCAGAATCACCCTTAGACTACCAGCACAGGTAGCTATTTTTACAAAAATACTAGAAAAATTCGTATATAATTATATCTGTATGCAGGGTATGCGATTTGCTGATTATCTTGTAATCCGGACTTAGCTTGAAAACAGTACATGTTGTATGATTTGCTTCACCTTCAGTTTTATTTTTAACCTCGTCATTAACCTTTCAGGCAGGTTGCCCTAATTATTTTAATTACCACTGCATGTTGTATACATGCATAGACTGTAGTGATTTATTACTGCAATTTTAGCATTTAAGCTAACATAGCACACATTTTTCTACATCAATCTACTTCTGAATGAACAATTCAAATTCTTGATTCAATTAAATTATCATTAGGAAATAAGTCAATTGAAAATCCGAACGCGTGATTTGAAACCTTGAAGACAAGGAGCAAGTCATAATTGTTCAAGTAAATCTATATTTTTAAGTTTCAGTGTATATGTAATGAGAATTGCTAGGACTCAAAATACAAGTATAGATACCTGGTATGACTACCTTTAATTAGTCAACTCAAAAAGTTAAACACAATTTACGATCTATTTCTCATAAAATGCAATGAACTTCTCAACTTTACTTGTACAGACGCCAAATCGAGCGTAATTTTTAATTACGAACTGAGGCTGACAATAATTAACATGTTACCTGAGTCCTATTCCCAAATATCCTTTGTTTAAGGTTATGTAGTTCAAGACCTCACAAGTCGCCAAGCCTTTAAGCAACTCGTATACTGACTTGGCAGAGCGACTTTCTCCTACGGCCAACCTTCTACCTTTGCTGAACTAAACACGAGCAGTGTACACGTAAACAGTTGCTAACATATTATTTTTTCTCATAATACTGTCGCTTAAACATGTTATATATTTTATAACCTTTGACAAAATAGTAATTATTTATTACATTTTTACATTTTGAGACATTTGGATCATTCTCTGTAAACGAATGCTATCAATAACCCCAGTAATATTTTAGGGCATTTAAAAGGTAAATGATACCTGTGCAGTGGATCCATGACGTGTGATCATGGCCTAATAAAGTTAAAAGAAAGTTTATGAGTTCAAAAATGTTCTTACTAAAAAGAGAAGTAAACATTCAACTAAAGAATTTGAACCAATATCTTTTTCTATTTGCATAAACCATTTCTCTTTCTAATATTGTTCTATCAAAACATGAAGAAATATTTAAAGATCGAACCTTAAAAGGAACAGAATACGCCAATGTTGAATCACACAGACTTGTTATAGTCTTTGTACATTTTGATACCAAACTCAGTCATGTCATTTGGCAAACTAATATAGCTGATAAAGTATCACCTATTAATTAACAGTACAAATGAATCTACGTGAACTTTGATCGGATATCTCAAAAAACTAAATTTATTACCGAGCTGTAAATCTGACCCCGACTTCTCGTTGAAAATTGTGTGTTTTGTGGGAGGGTTCAAGTTTTTTATAACTTTATCAGGGTGAAATTGCTTGGTACTCAGAACTTCATAGTGATGATGTTTAAAATATCTCTGGGTCAAGCGACGGGTGAAAACACTACACTCAATGAAAGGATGTTTGTTTGGAAATATTTAGTGTTGTGTCACTGTGAAATAAATATGATAAGCCCAGGAAATTAGTATTGTTTCTTAATTATCGCCGAATGTGAAAAAGAAATTGAAAAAAGAGCTCGCTGGAAAAATCGCTTGAAAATTCTTCTTAATTAATTAAGATGCATACTGAAATAGAAACTACATGCCCCTTTCGTCTATTGAGGATATCAATCCATTTTTCAAATCCACAAAACTGACCAAAAATATCCAAATTAATGTATGTAGCTATCGCTTTAGCTTTTTGGAAGAAAGTATAACTAAGGAAGAAGAAAAAAGGATGTTAAAAGAGAAACAGCAATTAACATTGGTCTGGCATTTTACATATTAAAAAGGCTTGTGACAAAAAAAAAGATTTTTGTCGTGGCCTTTATCGTGTAGGTCAGACTGTATCGTGTGGATTGAATGATGGAAGAGGGCGAGGGACTGATACAGCATATGGGCATGTACCTCACAATTACTCCCACTACTCGCAGAGACACTCTAAACTCGTGAATCACTCAAAAAATAACAAAGATAAATGAGCTGCCGAGTTAACCCATTTATAACTTCATCATTCGATAGTTGCTGAGAATATCTGGCAACTTAGCTTATACATGTGAAATATATAATCGTTGACATTGTTGGTTAGAAAAGTAAGATGAACCTGAAAAATGATAATCTCAAACAGGTGAGATGAATTATCCCAGAAAATACCTTGCCATAAACGATGACCAAAACACTGATTTGAACATCGATCTAAACTTGTCAAAAGTCTCAACATGAAGTTCTAATTCAAGCTATGACATTGAGCTTCAATCTTTAACCATGAACGGAATCTCTCAATATGTGACACTGACCAAAACCTTAACCTCAGGTGCCTCACCTGTCCCATGCCTGGCTATGTCCATGAGTTTATTATCTATTACATAAATGAAATAAAGAAATATGTTGCTGTTCATTCTGCACGTAATAAATTTACCAATTTATAAATACCGCTATGGCATTGGCCATATTAAACATTTGCATCACAAACCTTGACATTTTATTCCTTATAAACCTGACTTCAAACAAAAAAGTTTTATCCCAAAGGCAATGTAGAAACTTGGTGTGGATTTATTTCAAAACTTTGGCATGATTGCAATATCAGATAAAAAATAAAACAAATTGGAAGTCTTGATTTTAAAAAAATATTGATAGACATTTTGTGCAGTGAAATTAATTCGTTTGACAAAATAATAAATGACCACATTCAACAACATTTCTAAATCTTAAAAGCCATTCCAAGAACTTGGCTAATAAGAAATAATGTATTTGAAAATAATGTCAATTTAGATGTAAAACACTGTAATTTTGATATTGTACATGGAAATAAAATATTTCAGTTTAACAAATGTACATCAAAATTATTGTATTCTATTTTATTGTCACACACTGTTGAACAACCAACAGCGAAAAGAAAGCTTAGTATAAAATATGAATTAAACGAAGAAGACTGGAATTTTTACTATACTTTTTATCATAACATATTAACTTATTCTAAACACAGGGCTTTTCAATTTAAACTTATAAATTGCATTTTATATACAAACAATGATCTATTTAAATATAATGTAATACAATCGCCGATGTGCGAATTCTGTCATACTGCATTTGAAACGATTTATCATTTGTTTTATCATTGTGAATATACAAATCAATTTTGGAACAGTGTTCAGCAACACATTTTGAAAAACTCAAATATTTTGATTTAAAAAATGTGCTCTTTGGCTCTAAAAAATGGAGCAAATACGAAAATATGATTATAATTATTGCAAAATACTTCTTGTAAAAAAACATTTCTAAATCGGTATACAAGAGATAACGTGGTAATAAATTCACGATTTTTCGAACAAAATCCACTTTTTGAAAACTAAAAAAAAATATCACATTTTGATAACATTGGCTAAGACTACAATGTAAGCTAAAGTGGTTTAAACTTTATATGACGCCTTTAATTATTGAGAAATGCATATTTGTGTCACCCTGTGATTGGGCCTGCGTATATTACCAATCGCCAGGAGCATGATTATATGAGAGAACTGAAAAGGAATATTGCATACACATCTAAATCAGAAACAACATAAAACACATAAAAAGCTGTCAACACCTAAATGATTCATAATATCCCATAAAATTCACACTTCCATTAAAGAAAATAAAAACCAGTCGGGTAACAAGATCTAGACAATTTTTGTTACTTTTTGTTTGTCAAGTGAAATGTGTTGTCTGTAGAGACTCCTCGCCTAACCGCATTCATACCTCATACAGGTTACACCCATACTGCAAACTATGTGGGCAGCTGCATTCAGAATAGCCACGTAGAATCTATGAACCTTGACTTGGAACTAACGTTCATTAAATGTTGATTCTGTCATTGAGAGAGTTATGGGTATTTTACAAACGCATGAGCCTGATATGTTCTCCATTATCTTAATATAAAATCTTAATAGACAAAAATACCATGATATCTTTTCATTTATGAGAACCGTTGTAGCTTCACGATGCAGAGTGGACTAAATTCTTCAAAAATAACCACTGATCGTTGAAACATTAGATTTTCAGAAAAACAAATAGATTGACAAGCTATGCTATGATATGAGTTACAAAATTTATTATTTAAAACAATTCTTGAAAAAATCTTTATCTACAGGGTGGTCCAAAAAGGTGAACCCCTGCAACAGGCTATATTTTCCTTAATACTTGCATGAATAAACTCATATTATCACATGTTGTAGAGTAAGGTCTAAAATTTTGGTTGATGCCATAATTTAATCTCAGTCTTAAATTTTGAAGAAATTACGAGAGTTTAGCAAACATGCCTGAAAATTAGATATTGTGCAAAATTTTACCAATGTGATTCACAGTGATTGGATGATCTTAAACAGCTTTCAGTTAGAGATACAAGTTTAAAACCCTACCATATGACAAAAGGGACACTATTTAAGCAGAAAACACATTTCACACTTTCATTGATCATTTTGAAGCAGTTCGAACCCTTCAACAGTTCAGGGGTATGTTACCTAATCCAACAGTTAGAGGAGGGCCTCTTGTGGAAGGAAGTTGCCCCCTGTGACCAGGAATCTGAGAAGCCCTTCATCAAATATCTTTAAAAATCAAAATAAAATCCAATATCCAATGTTTTGAAGCTTAGCTATGGAAGCTTAGAACATATCTTTGGATCACAAGAACTTTGCAACTAACAAAGGTAGGATGCTAGTTTTAAGCCATAATGTGCGGGATTCAAGATTGAACAAAGTGAGAAAATATTAGTTCTTTAAGCCTGCAGCTTAAAAAATGTCAGGGGAAGGGTGTTGAAGGGTTGAAGAATCGTGGATATTAAAAATCACATTTTATCCATTTTCAGTAATATTTGGTTAGGGCTTATAATTTCCGCAAAATTCAAGACTAAGAAAAATGAATGGTGCCAACATAAATTTTAGACCTTCCTCTACAACATGTGAAAATATAAAAGAATCCCTGCAAGTAATAAGGGAAATATGGCCCGTTACAGGGGTTCACATTTTTTGGAGTGTGCCGGTTGCTCAGTAATCTGCCATTCACATTCCTAACGATATTGCAAAAATTCTGCCAAATGTGAGTGTAGATCTGCAGAGAAAGTTGGCATGTTATCTAATTTCTTAGTAAATAAACTCTAAATGCATCATTTTATTCAACCTAAAGAGATTCTCTTGTAGTTAAAGTTCATTGGCATTGGAAGTACATGTAAACAGGAAACAGTTGTCCAAATGATAGGTCGCATGTTAAATTGTGAGCTTAAGACGTGTGTGTGACATCAACATAATATGCTCTGAGCACAAAAACACCTCATGATTTGTACAAAGTAAACACAAATTTGTGTACTGCACGAAGTAACTTTTTCATCCAGTTTATTTAAAAAATATAAAAGGCAGCCAGAGATTGTAAGATACTGTTTAGTCGGTGGCTAACGCAGCATGCATGAAGGGCAAGTTAGGATAAATAATGTTATAAATAACAGAATCATAAATACAATTATACATGTATCTCTCTCGCTGTTGAATAAAAAATATAAATCAAAAACCAGTGAGTTGTCTCTAGTTGATGGTTGGCTGCGTCTAGACTTCAGAGTCGAGTTGTAACTATTACCTTGTCAGCACCATTGCAATTCAAAGTATTTTAATAAAATGTAATAATAATGAGTTATGGAGTTATGATGGTATCAAATATGAAAATTAATAAGTGTGGCATAAATGATACAGATCAATTTCTTAAATGGATAATCGCATTCATCGCGAATTAATTTCATTATAACTAATCAATCACCCGAGTTAAAAAAAAGAAGAAATAGGCTAAGACAAATATATTTGTGTTTCTGGTTCATAGTATTTGTAGATGAGGTTTTCTATTTTCCTCATATCCTTATTGTCTAACTATACAATAAAATGAAAATAGATGATTACCGTGATTTGATTTGATTTTATGGGGCAATTAATTGGGGATGAGATGATATGCTAAACAATTTTTAGTTACCCTAGCCATACTATAATGTAGCTGCAAACTCTTATGAGAGAGCTGATCTTGAATACCTCCTTGATAGACTACATAGTTGTGTATAGATAAATTGTTCGAGGTTAAGATGTTAATTAATGCTTTTATAAAAATTGACGTAGAGTATAGAAAACATCAATTTTGATATCCATATTTATATAATAATAACTATCCAGTTTAAGCATTTATAGTCACCATGACGATCGCAATTCGATTGAATGTCATTTACATCGTATTCTACATTTCACTTACTACAGTAGAGGAACTGTATGATTATCAGGAGCAAAGTGACCTATCTAGTATATTACTCAACATTGTCTGCATATTCGATGCCACTTCCATAGACACGTCTAATGGTAAACAACTCAAAAACCTAAAAAATTGACTTGACTGTCCATTTATTTAAAATGAGTTAAGTGTTTTAACTAGATCCTCTCCACAGTGGAGGTATCATCTTATCTATGCTAGAACAAAGCCCCAGTGTTGTTGTTAATCAAGAGATAATGCAATTTAAACCTACTGTACACCAATCGATACAATTTCAACATGACCCCATTTATCTTTAACGATCAACATAAAGTAAAATTGCAAAACATATCCACATGTATGACCGTGCATATTGATATTAATAAATAGATGTTGAATATAATAACTTGTTATTGATTTTACTTAATAGCTGCATACATAGTAAATAACCTTAACCATCGCTCTTTCTATGTTATACGTCCTTGTACATGTGTTTAATGAATGTCTGTTTTTCTCTTACCTGGGGCGGTTAATAATAGGAGGGTTAGGAAACCATGACTTTCCCCCGACATCTTGCCTCCAGTCGAACATCTCTTTACGATACTGACTTAAACCAACGATTGGGAATCCCCATGCACAATTTCTTATATGCTAATACTTTTACATCCCCGATATATACGGTAAACATATAATTGTTTTATACAAGTGAGTAATTTTTATAAAGCGTGCCAACCTAGGATGAAGGTGCCAACCAAAGCCGATTATAAAAATAAAAAATGATTTATATTTACCTTAATATACTGACTCCGTATTCAATGTAAGGTTAGCTGGTATCCATTGTCAAGGCAACGTGATGATTGCATTATAAAACACAATGTTAATATTGCACTAATATCCTATGGTCCTGTTAATTTGCCTTGAGCAGACTTGACGTAATTTCAATGCCAGCAACCTGTTGACTATTATTCTCTCTTTTCGTTAAATCACTTTCCATAAGGTGGCGTCCTGGTGACTAATTCACCAGCCAATCACGTCAGGAACCTAACTCAGGCACTTTGACTGTCAGGGCGTCCATATGAAAAATGTGTGCTATCCCCGCGATCTGTTCACGATCGTGCTATTAAAAGGAACAACCCTCTCATTTGTGAAGGGGCCTCAATGCGTGCCATGCTCTTTTTACTTTCAATATTGCTACTGGGGGTTGTGTGAAGAACGTGTCAACAATTTGATAACCTTTTTAAAGGCTGCACTCTAAACTGTTGTGAAGTAGGCTACATATGTAAATACTGTTAAAAACAACTACATGGCGAAGGGTCGTTTTAAATTTCAGTTGCAAAGATATTGCGGCATGATGACCTAGGTTCGCATATCTCAGGCTTAACATTACACCACGTTTGTTTTGATCAAAACATACTTGAATGTAATTTAAGTCATCATTTACTGAGATAAAAATAGAAAATCAATTATATTTAGCATCCTTTCAATTTTGCTATGATTTTGTTTTGAATTTGATTATAATCATATTTGTGTCATAGTTTTTATAATCAAATCAAAATTTCCGAAGAAGCATGCATGTAATGAGAATGCAGAGGTACTGAACGACGCACGTCCGGTGTACCCCTAACTATTACTGGGTGGGTAAATACGGAATAGTATTTTGGCTACTTGATTAGTTTCCGTAGGAAAAATATTCCTCCACACGAATCATGCAAAAGTTAATGCACGATATATTTTTCATAAGGACACTGAAGCTAAAACTATGTATGAGCTTCTACACGTTTACAAAATAGAAGTTCATAAAGAGAGGACAGCGGTTCAGTAATTAACAATGGCATTAGATGACTGTTGTCACTGCCTCTTCATCGTGATCATTTATCAATCTCACGACTTACTCATTCTGTTTTTCATCATTATCAAACTTTGTTTACTGATCATAATGCATACACTAATTAATACACCCCTCCCCTTTTAATAAAGCTAGTTTGATCCTTTAGGAATTCTCCGTATCTAATAGTTGATTACTGATTGGTTATAGCCATCAAATAAATATCTCTAATTTAAAGGGTACATAGGACGTAGGATGTAGAGCTCTTTCGAAGGGAAAGTCTTTTGACATAAATACACCATGTCAGAGCAATGACAGACACCTGATTTGTCACTCAAGTAGCCTATATACCAAGATCAAGTTGACTGTCAAAGTGACAAAGGACAGTAAAGAAATATAATATACATTCTCTTGTGTGTAGACGGTAGAGTGCCATCTGCTAAACCCTCTGAGTCTGGTGTCATGTTGTATTTTTAAAGTATCAAAAGTCAAAAGATAGTGCCGTCAACATGACAATATTCCTTTTGAAAAAGAGGAGGCGATGAAAAATATTTCACCTTTTGTTCAAAAGGGACCATTAAAATATACGTTTAGGGGAGGCATCAAAAGATCAATGTCTGATAGGAAACTAAATAAATCTAGTTAGGGGGGGGGGGGGGGTCAAAGCCATTTCAGTTTGCTATCCGAAAAAGTTCAACATTTTAATTTTATTGTAATTTTGACTCAGAATGCCTTCGAATGGTTTAAAAATAAAAATTTTACCCGATGCTTTCTGGAACTGGAATATTGTGCCTACTGTTGTTGTTACATGTTTTCAGAATTCTAAATAAATTATGGTAATGGCTCCACTAAAGTCCACGTCCAAGTCCAAGAAATCATGCGAAGTCCGCGATCAACTTACATGGTATTAAGTTTTTGGGGGGAGGGGGGTCAAACTCAAAACTAGATTTATTTAGTTTCCTATCAGACATTGAACTTTTGATGGCTCCCCTTACAAAGGACAAAATCGTAAACAAAATTAAGATTAAAAGATCGCTGTTTATCACAACCATGTTGTTTTATGTGTTCAGTAAACGAGCATTGAATACTAATTGCACCCTGCCACCTACGAGAAAACAATCAATGCATTGAACTGACTCTAGTATAACTTGGTAACTTCCTTTGAAATGTTTTAATCAAAAATGAAATGATTTGAATAAGAAAAAATATGTCGGTGTCAGAGTAAATATAGTCTCCCTGAATATATGGAGGACCATACATCCTAGGACACTAGGTCCTTAACCGGACTATATTTTCTGGACTATATACGCCGAGGGACTATATTTTGTAGAATAACAAGGTCTATGGACTTTATTTATTAGGTATTTTAGTCCGGTTGATTGCTAGAACTTAATGTCCGGGGGACTATAATATGCAATGGTATCATGCAATCGTACATTGGCTTTGAATTAAGTAATTTCTCCCCCCCCCCCCGGCCTACTCCTGTTCGTTTCTTTCCTTGTGTTTCGGGTGAGATATGGCAAAAGGGTAGTATACAAAGAGTCTCGTGAGCAATGCATCTCTGTGTCTCTTCCCTTGATCTGCTCAGTATACGTTTTGACGGAACATACATTTACGTTGTTGTGTAATTAATTTATCTAACATAAAATAGTTATAATATCATTAACAAGATGGGTAGTCATATCTGTCCACAAGGATCGCTTTATCTTAAGCGAGCTAGTCACCCATTCAAAGTTGAACACCATATTCTTGAAAAATGCTTTACCCTACAATTTGAACATTTGTTGGAATGCCCATCGTCGAGAACTATAGAGATCATACACCTACCACAGTGCCTACATTCTAGTGGTCATTGCATCCTAGATGTTGTCCACAAGGATAGAGCTGGAGAAGGAGTGACTGACCACGGTGATGTATACTAATCACCCACTGCACATTCAATCAAATCCAAAAACATGAATCTCTGTGCAAGTGCTAAATTCTTTTAAAATGTTTATGGAACGAAGTTAAGCTTACGCAAGATACGTTCACACGGCTCCATCTATCCTACTTTGCTACACGTAACGATGGCGTAAACAAGACACCTATGAATCATTTCTCCCCTCGTGGCTTGCTCTAAAGGACAAATTGTGTTTCTGGTAGGGAATTTTCTTGGCTAAATAAGCAATTACTTTTATTCATTAGTGAATTGTGTCATTGACTTTTGTTTTTACTTATTGCTTCATGTCTTGTTTTAAACAAACTTAAAATAACTGGATATCGTGCCAAAAACACAACTCTTGTGAGGTTTCGATATGACAATCAAAATTTTAGCTGTAATTACAGGCTATACATTTGAAAACCAAAAACGCATTTCACTGGAATTTTAAGACATTGAATAATTGGTTATGCCTCAGACCTTTGAATTATAACTCTAATTAGCGAGTCAAAGGATTCATCGGGCATTTGTTTCAAAGCGGCGAAAGTCGTAAAACCCTTCTCTGGGGCTAGAAATAGTTCTAAGCTGGATCACATCCGTGGTCAACTTTCTTTTGTTCGCATCACAGCTGAGAACACTTGGTCTTGATATAGACTGGAGAAACCACACGATATGGTAAGTAAACTTTGAGAATATATAAATCATAACAAAGTATACTGTGTTATTGTTGACCACTAAATAATTATAAAATGCCTCAAGAATATCAGGGTTATAAAATGTATTGTTTTTTTTGTTCCTGTTGTACATTTATTTGGGTAAGTTTGAGCGAAATTCTTCATGAGAAAAAATCGATAAAGAAGTGATCTCAGTTTCAATTATTGGTGTCACATGGATGACCTTTAATAAAAGGTCCATGTGGGGTATTGCAAGTGATTTTAGACGGTCAAATTTTTCACCAAGAGTACTGGGCATAAATACAATTGTTTTTTATTACAACAATGCTTTCTTTCAAGTGAAGTCCCCATAATGATAAAAATACCAATCGAACAATTCGAAAACTTTTTTTCAAAATGTTGAACCTATTTACCCAAAAGAGGCTCTTCTTTTTCTGATTTTTAATTGCATGAAAAGATTATTTAACATGGGGTCTAAAAATTCTTCAAAAATAGAATGGCTTGAATGTCTAGTTTTGAAGCTATCAATTTTTGACCAAAATTATGCTGAAAACAACGGATAGCATGAGTGCCAAGGTGGGGTCCTCATCCAATCTTTAGAGAGTTGGATTGATATTTCACTATCATGGGGACTTCACTCAAAAGAAACCTTTTTTTAATAAAGACACTAATTATGGCCAGAAAGTACTCAAGGTAAAATATATGATTGTCTAAAATCACTTGCACTACGTCACATGATTCTTTTGATGAACTTTACTTTTAGATGTGGTCTAATGCTGTATGGGTTGTCTTCTTCCTTGCCCTTCAAAGAGGAGTTTTCGCAGAGCAAACCGGTAAGATACTCTAAGAGTAATTACTGAGCATTTCATTTCATTGAAAAAGAAATATTAATTGGAATACATCATTTAAAGATTAATATTTCGACTGAGAACCACTTCAAACTGTTCATTCACCAGAAGCTATTGTTTTTGATGTTGCTATACTGGATTAGGATTTACATTTTCTTTCTTACAGCGGAATTTGTGTGCACGAAGACAGATGGCATCCGTCGACATGTGCGTGTTGAAGTAGTCCCAGACACAAACACAATCAGAGCAGCATACGCCAATGGACAAAAAGGTTTCTGCGACTTTACGTTCGATGCAAACATTAACAAATGGTACAGAGATTTCGATCTTACTAATGGACAGGACTCCGCGGACTTCAAAGACTGTGGAATGCTTGTAAGTGACATTCCAGATTTGAAATCCAAAAGTGATAAACCGATTGCATTTTCATATATATTTCTATTCAGGACCAGTATGATACGTAATTAGCATCAATGAAGTTACCAACACTTCAATATTTTCTCAGTTCATATTGTTTTATACTGATTCCACATTTACAAATGGTGGAGCTGCCGGTTTTATATCTGTATTAAATTCGGAATATAAGTTCATATCATATGTCGATATTCCAGTATGATAACGCAGGGGGGACTTCAGACAGTTTCTTCTTCCGTGTAGTGACCCAAGAGCTGTCTGCCGGAGTGTTGCTGGACACAGACAGAGTCTATGAAATTCTTTGCGACTTCAAGAATCTCATCTCGCCCAATAAGGTCAACTCACCACAACCATCTACCATCGCTGGGTAAGCTTTCTTTGCACACTGATCCTAAAACTGTTGTTTTGGTGGCTCGTTTATAGAAATATAGTAATACTGTATATAATCGATTGTCTAAATGTGGGTTTAATATTTAATGAGCCGCTTCACGTGGTGGAGCTGCCGGTCTGACTCACCTTTATATTTATATACTTGTTAACATGTATCTGACCCTTTGCTTTATAATGACTTGCTCTATGTAGTAATGTTGGTGAGGGCCAGGAACAGGAGATCACAGTATCCAACGTAGACCTATTCATAGTAAGCGCCGATGGCACTAGAGACATTACTGGGACGTCAGTCAACTTTCCTGCTAGTATTCGAGTCCTGGTAGTTCTGTCAAAAACAACAGGTACTTGCTATATATTCATCCGAATCGAACTTATTATATTTTTCGATATAGTTACGTTCACCATATATCGTAATAATTCATGTATACAGTTACCAGTGGAAGATCTTTCTTCCAGTCGGTGTTTTTGACCAGTGTCTGAATTCCAGATTTGTTTTGAAGGAATGCCACCGAATTAATTTCTTATTCGTTTATAAAAGGAGCTTTATGTTCATTTTCTTATTTTTCATTGCAGTACATATGGGAGTTAGGGTGAGAAAGTGTGTTGCATTACCCACGGTGGATTCGCCGTCATCTTTTGAAATCACAGATTTCAGAGGGTTGGTAAACTTAACTTATAGACCATTTGTATTGTCGTGGGCTTCTTAAGAACTCTATTAATCCCACAATATTGTTCTACACCGTGTATGTCTTTTAAATCATGTATTCTATTTTCAATATCACATAAGCCTAAAATTCAGGGACAATGCTCATGAAAAGCTGCCATTTTAGGTGTGGTCATGGTGAACGGTTCATTGGTGACAAACTGGGATTCACTGGTACGGATGGCTCTGGAGGGGACCAGACCAAGTACCAGGCCATCTCCGAGACGTTCCCGCTCTTCAAGTTCCCCAACGTGGACACTGTGTTCATCACTTGTGATGTTGAATACTGCAATAGTGGAAACAGACAAGATGTATGCGACGGGGTGAGTGAAGATATAACTGTATTGAAGCGGCTAGCAAAATGATAAAATAAATCGAGCCATCACAGTGATTTGTGTGATTGAGATAAAAATAAAATATTATCAGAAACGATAACTTATTAAAAGGCAAAACATCATTACACATACTCCACGTGTAGTTGTTAGGAGGGTGGTAATTTGAAAATGAATTAGTTCATGATCATTCCCCATTGAATTCCACATGTTCCAGGTACAATGCAGACCTGTTACTGGCACAACAGCCACGGGTGGCGTAAACAGCCAAGGCGGCACCCAGGGCGGTGGTGGCATAGGAGGGGGTATAGGAGGCGGAGGTATCGGGGGTGGAGGTATCACTGGAGGCAATACTAATACCAACCCAAGTCCATTTGGAAGACGCAGGAGAGTTGCAACTAATGGAACAAATGATGTGCCCAAGAGTGTCTCGGGCTTCATCTTTATTAATACAGAATCCCCGGCGAATGAACCAGCAAGTAAGTCTGCCATGCAAGTAGTACTTAACACATACTATGAACGATATCTGTATGGAAAGGCAGGACTATCAATGGTTGATGCCATGGTCACATTTGCTCCGATTTTCAGTATGGCGCCCGGTCGATGAGTATTTTGTTCAACGTTGTATTTAGTTTTGAACAAAATACTCATTGGCCGGGCACCGCTGTTGAAGATGGGAGCAAGTGTGACCACGGAATCACTATTAGATTCAACAATTCCTAAAATCCTTCTTTTTCCAGGAGTGAGAGGTGCTCCACCCTCGGGTAAAACAATTTCAGCAGTTTCTTGTCTTCAAAGTCCAGCATTCCTCGTGACAATTGCCGTTCTTGGTCTTGTCATCCTGGTGGCGGTCATAGCGTCTGTGTATGTGTGTATGAGATACAGACAGGACTCAAAGGCCTCTAATATACAGTATGTGGAGAGAGACATGGCAGCCACTCCTCAGCCCCAGTATATCTATGACAATGGTTCTTATTCCTCAGCCACTAGTTCCAGATTACAGAGAATGTAAAGTATATGACGGGTACAACCAAAGTACAATCACCTACGGTATTGAGTGGTGATATAAATATTTCAGAAGAAATATTGAGAATTTTCAAAAAACATATGGTATGGTCAGTCACGCAATCAATATCCGAACAACACTCGTGTGATTCTCTCATTTGATGATAAATTATGATAATAATGGTACTGTTACACAACAGAACTATATTACTTTGTTTTGAAGCATTTTGACGAAAGGCTTCGAAAAGTAACAGTGGATTTTTGAAGTTGAACACAAGCACTAAATCCTTCATTAAACAAGCAAATTAACCCTTACCAATAGCTTATAAAAATGATACCACTATTAATTATATATCTCATACATACATATGATATAGGGAAAACTGTCGGATTAAAATAATATCCAAGTTATGATCATTGAGATCCCAGTGTATTTCATTTTCTATTGTTTATTGTTGTGTATTGGACAACAATACAATAGTTAAAGGTTACATTGATCGTTAGGACACTGAAAACAGATCTTGTGTCTAAAATTAGGACACTGGAAATGAAATACTGCTTTTCAGAATAAAGATCCCTACACACAAAGGACTATGAGAATGGACTTAGAATGTAGTTTGTAGATTTTAATATCAATTTTGTGATCATTTTTTGATAAATTGTTTATTTTGTATACTAGAATTGAATAAAGTTTTGTAGTTTTGCAAATAAATTCTATATTTTTGGTTTTTGCAAATAACAATTCTACAATATTTGGCACCACCTGTATTCACAGACACAAACTAACCAGCGTAAGAACATAAACTATTCATGAATGTATATAACAGTTTACTTGATATGCTAGTTACAAAATGATGATTTACAGGTAGACAACCAGTATGCAAGTAGCAAATATAGATACATACACATACACAGATAATATATGTTTAGAATTATAGCCTATTAGTATTCATCATGGAAAATGCAACACCAGAATTCTTGTGTCAGTCCATATATTGTAAATAAATAATTCTTACATTGGCAAAATAAAATACAAATAGCTTCATTTACGTCATCATAAAGACATCTCAGTTGAGCTTTTCAATGTTGAATAAGTTCATTGAAATTCAATGTTGAATAAGTTCATTGAAATTCAAGGTGTAGACTTGACCAACTCCCTTGATGGTGAAGGTAAGATTCTTTCTTAAATGACATAGCTACAACATTTCTTAAGCATTACATATTATTTCATTTTTACAAAATATACATCACTATATACAAGCATTTTCAAATACTCCTTCCTTAACGTTTGGCAATTTTATAATTTAACACATCACAATACACGGACATGTTTCATTTTCGCATGGACATACACAAATGTATGACCCTCAGTACTAGTTAATGAACTGTATAGCTATACTAGACTAAAATAATAGGCCAATGATCTCTTAATGTGTAAATTATGAATAGACTATATTCTTTACCAAAATGAAGAGTGATTTCTCCATTAATGAAAAGAGAGCAGAGTGCTCCAAGGTTTTGAAATGGGAGTTTTTTGTTCAACTAAAATTGTGTATCACCCAGCTGATAATTTGAAAACATGATTTCTGATATTTGGACATTTTGAATATTTCCTTAGCTGGAATACTATGGGTTATTGAGAATTTGGCAAAAAGTTGTAACAGAACATCTTGGGAAAAACTAATTAACATGTATCATATTTCCCTATTGATTGAGTATGTGGCAAAATTACTCTACAGACCATTCCTTAAAGAAATCATTGCCTTTATTGTCCACTACTATGAATGCTGGGAAGTCCTCAACTTCTACTTTCCATATTGCTTCCATCCCTGCAACATCAAAAAATACTATTACATGTACGTACTGCAATGCTAAATGTTATGTTCAGTCAAGGGGCGATTCAATTATCAATGTGTTATTTTTGCTACCCAAATACATCAGAGGAAACGTTTAAAGCACAGAGTTTTATGACAGAAAAACATAAAAAGTTGAATGGACAATATTAACTTCAACATTCAATATCTTCATGAATAGAATGACGGGGCTTCTCTGAGCATTCACTCAATTTAACTTCATCCAGTCCTTAGTGTATTATAAAAGCAATAAAATGTATGCACATGGTTGTAATACTTGTTGATCTGAGAATTGAAAAAGGGCCAGTATATATTTGTATCTTAAAATCCACACTCTCTTACCTAACTCAGGGTATTCCAGCACTTCTACCTTTTTGATACTATTCTTAGCAAGAATTGCAGCGGGTCCACCTATTGACCCTAAGTAGAATCCTCCATGAGTCTTGCAAGATGTTGTCACCTGTAAATGTAAATATGAAAACACTTCAAGCAATGATCCCCCATTATAAAGCAATTGTTAAGTAAGTCAGAGACCTTTTTGATGGTTTGACAAAGTAGAATTCAATGATTTCGCTCATTTGATGAAATGCATTTGCCTCCTAGCAAACAGAATCAAGCACCAGATTACCATGGTCAACTGCCCCAATTGCCCTGGAACTCACCTGCTTGCTTCTGTTCCCCTTGGCCAACATAATCATACTGCCGCCATTTGCCTGGAACTTGTCTACGTAAGAGTCCATTCTCCCTGCAGTTGTAGGTCCAAATGATCCACTAGCATAGCCCTACAATGACAACAGGTGATCAATTATTAGATGAATCAATTGTATTGAGAAATATCCAGTTGCTAGAAGTTCATTATTAAACCCTTAAATGATCAGAACTTGTATGGTGGCACACCAACAGACACATACCTCTGGTGTTTTAGCTGGGCCAGCATAGTAGACTGGGTGGTCTTTAATGTACTGTGGTAGCCCCTCGCCACTCTCTATTCTCTCTAAGAGCTTGGCGTGTGCAATATCTCTTGCCACAACCAGGGTACCTGTCAGACTAAGCCTCGTCTTTATTGGGTAGCTATTTAACTCTGAGAGGACATCAGCCATTGGTCTATTCAAATTGACCTGAAACGTTGTTTAAAAATTTTGGCATAAATGTTTATTAGATGGGTTGAACTGAAAGAAAATCTTGAATTAAGATATTAAAGGTACAAAATTAATCAATCATGTGGGTCTATTCTTGAACCTCATAAGATAAGCTCAGAATCTTTGAGGTGGAATATAGAGCCATCTCAGCTCAACACTCACGCAGAATGGAGCCTTAGAGACTGGTTAATATATGGTAGGCTTAAACACATTGTACACTGCACAGTACATATGCTCTGAAATACCAAATAAATAGTTCACACGATCCACATTCACTTCCAGGGTATTCATAGAAAAGTCAAGCATCTTTTTTATCAAAAACTACACTTTGACTTGAACACTGTAAGAACACGACATGAACACTATAGGCTGGACAGTGGACACAAATGTATATTAATTAGGATCTGTGTAAAATTTGCGTTTTCCTGATAGAGTTCGGCAATTACAGAATGACTGTTACTGACCTGTACAACTTCCCCACTAAGGTCACTGGCTGTTACTTCAGGTAAGAATCTTCCAGGGTTTGTCTCAAGCTGTTCCAGGAACACCCCCTCCTCTGTAATTTTGCCAATTGCCTTAAAAATTATCAGAGCAGAATAAATCAGCGAAATAGCCTTTTCAATGTTTGTATCTTGATTGCAAATATATACGATCATTTCCAGTTTGACCAAATTAAATTTTTTTTTTTTTATAATTTTTTTTATTTCAAAGAATAAGCATGATAAGCACCAAGACTGCATAAAAAATTAGACTGTACATTGAAAAATATGTGCATGTAAATCTATACAAGCATAAACATTTCTTCAGTAAAGCCAAACACACAACCATCAGTCCAACCATACCTGTCTATCAGCAGAGCATGACACTCCAATCCCCACTGGACATGAGGCACCATGTCTTGGAAGGCGCACAACTCTCACATCATGGCAGAAATATTTGCCACCAAACTGGGCACCAATCCCCATGCGTTGAGTCAGCTTATGTATCTCTTGCTCAAGTTCAACATCCCTAAAGGCTCTGCCATGTTCATTGCCTAGAATATATAACCAATCATATGCAACAATCTATCTTTGCAAGGAGGCCATTCACAGAAACTCTTAGCACATTCAACAGACACAACCATTTGCCATTCTGTATTCAACTTAACTAATTGACTTTTTACATTTTACCATACATGATTTACATGTTATACCTCTGGTAGTAGTAATTAAGATCAAGATGTTTTTCTTAGAATGATGAGGGGTTAAACTTTTTATCATGTTTTTACCTACCCGAGGTTGGTAGCCCATCTAGGTACTTTGTTGATGCTAGTTTGACAGTCTTTAGAGTTGTCTCAGCTGATGTTCCTCCTATAGCTATTGCTAGATGGTATGGTGGACATGCAGCTGTGCCTAAAGTCTAGAAAACACATGGGTACATAACTTATGAAATCTCTATGATATCAGGATTGGATGCCATAAAATAACAATGAAACATGGGTATCTTTCAGTGATCCCTGAATATTTCAGAGCCTTTGTACCTCATAATGATGTGAGAAATTATATCTTATATTGTTAGAACCTACATTGCCTCTGGGAACTTTAATGCATTAGAAAAACACGAGGCCTCGTAAAGCAAGTATATTTTGGGTCCTTTGTAGGAGTAAAAGATAATTCATAATGTTGTAATATGTACATCATGCAGTGCACTTTACCTTAATCTTCTCATCCACAAACGCCATGAGTTTCTGTGGGTTTAAAAGTGCTTTAGTCTGCTGGTAGAGGAACGTTTTGTTAGCTGATCCTCCACCTTTTGCCATAAACAGAAAGTCATACTGACTTGAGTCTGTTGAATAAAGCTCAATCTGAGCAGGCAAGTTGGTGCCAGTGTTCACTTCCTTGAACATATCTAATGCCGAAACCTAAAATATATATAGCTATTATCAAGGGGTACCATCGAATAATTTTGGCAACATACCGGAGAACGACATTTTACTAAGAAATGGCAATAATTTAGCACAATATATTTTTTAACTAGAGTTCTATTTTGATTTTGACAAAAGTAAGTATTCCATGCAATAACTATTTCATTCATGAGTTTGTAGGAATTCTGTTGGAACCCAGTTCTGATCAAGTACGAAGTTATTGAAATTGGCGCAGACGGACTTTTCTCCGAAAGATGGTTTTTCGATTATAACTTTTCACAACATTTAAGTATAGACTTTTGAAAAAAGTACAGAATAGTCTTTATACTTTTGAATAATTCTGTTATTTCTGATTCACACAACTCTGATTTGTTTAATTAAAAAAAAAGTAGATCAGTTGAATTATTATAATTTAAATATATAATTTAAAGCACATATACTAATTTAAAAACATATGGGATTGTTCGAATGCATTTTTATTAATATATATGCTTTAAATCATTTATTTTATTTTTCTAAATTATATAATTCAACTGATCTGCTCCGGTTACGTTCCCAGCTCCGGTTACGTTCCTAAGTAATATTTTTAAAACTTTTTTTTTAATTAAACAAATCAGAGTCGTGTGAATCAGAAATAACAGAATTATTCAATAGTATAAGGACTATTCTGTACTTTTTTCAAAAGTCTATACTTAAATGTTGTAAAAAGTTATAATCGAAAAACCATCTTTCGGAGAAAAGTCCGTCTGCGCCAATTTCAATAACTTCGTACTTGATCAGAACTGGGTTCCAACAGAATTCCTACAAACTCATGAATGAAATAGCCATTGCATGGAATACTTACTTTTGTCAAAATCAAAGTAGAACTCTAGTTAAAAAATATATTGTGCTAAATTATTGCCATTTCTTAGTAAAATGTCGTTCTCCGGTACGTTGCCAAAATTATTCGATGGTACCCCGTGATTATGAATAATTAGAAAGAAGTAATACAGAATATTAAATAAAATAAATAAATTATATAAAAATATAAGTATATACGAATTGAAGTAGCACCCAAAAACAAACCTCTACAAAATGTGATCATCATAACATGTTTCTAGGCTGGTACAGAAAGCACAGCAACACACTACAGTATTTTAGAAATACTCGCTTCCTTTAAATTTCAATAATACATATGCCATTTTGTTAATTACTCTTGAGATTTCGTATAATCAGTAACTTGAGCAGATATTAATGCAATGGTGTAGAAAATATAACATACCTGTGAGTATCTAAGGTTAGTGTTTGTATATGTGTTGTAAACTCCCTTTGATAGAGCAGCAGCATCTTGGCCATCTGTCCATACATACTGCCCCTTCTTGCCTATATTAATGACAACATCATGATTAACACTCATTATATTTCCCTCTATAGTGCTACTAGTTTCTACTTTAATTATTTTGGGAATTTGTACTATTTCTTTTGATTTTATCAATTAAATAGGTATCAATACACTAAAGTTTGTCTCCTGAAATATTAAATAGTTATCTTTTTTATGAATAAAAATAGAGTACTTGTACTTAAAAGAGACGTAATATGTATAAAGCTACCATTCCTGAATTCACATTCTGAATTCCGATTTGTGAAATTCAATCATCTTTTCCAATACTTACAAGAATTCAAAAAATCATGATTTACATTTTTTCAAATAAACAGCAATCAAGGCAAGGACACAATTTATCACTTCAAAAATTGATAATAATAATAAGGTACCCAGATGAAAACCATTCGCTTACCCATGATGATTGCAGTGCCAGTGTCTTGGCAACCAGGTAGAACCATACCAGCCGCAATATTGGCATTCTTCAAAAACTGTAATGCGACATATTTGTCATTGCCAGAGGCCTCTGGATCCTGCAGTATATTAGCCAATTGCTGGAATATACCATATAGATTTTTTGTAGCAATTTCAGATGTTTCTTTACTTTCTTACAACAGATATGACCAACATTTGATGTCTAAACATACAATGATGCATAATGAATATACAATGCAGAATGAAACATACAATGATCCATACGAATTGTCGATTATGTTACAGTATTCTAGCTAAGCTAATATTAAGCAGCAATACCACCACTCTGAAACAAGTCACACCACCAGTTTTAGAAAAATTAACTGACATAGGCAATGGGCACTCTACTCAAATTAACATTTGATTGATTATTTCAACATTCATCACTTCGTACATACTTGTAAATGGGCAGGTCTCAGAAGATGGGCAATGTCTATCATGGCTTGCTCTGCTAGGAGAGTCAGGGCTTCAGGTTTCACTTTCAGCACTTTCTTTCCCTCAATCTCGAATGTAGACACATAATCCCCTGTAATTTATAACATAAGCACCATTAGTACTACCACTATGGGGCGCATATTTAAAGTGCTCTTGTCTAGTATTAGGTAATACCAGTATAACTTTAGTGACACCTACACAGACGATATCAATACAGTAATAACAAAAGTCATGTCAATATGTATAATTTCACACAGTGGCAGATTTACACATACCTGATAATTTCTTAAAAGGTGTATTCAAAGGTTTTTCTGGTTCGAAAATATCCTGGTAGACAAATGGTTTCACTGATGCTGCAGTCGCCTTGTGACGTTTTAGCAGCTGCTTGAAGATTGCTCTGTGGGCAACAGCCCCACATTGAGGCAGCTTGCTGAACATCTGGAAATTATATAAATAAAAATTGATAAATAATCATACTACATTGTAGTTCTAGTTTCAATGAGATCCCTCATAATGTCAAAGTTACTCCAAAATGAAACAAAATGGCATTGACGTTTTAACTACCTCCTCACCCTAAAAGTTTAGAGGAGGAGATTAGACATAAATTGGCAAAATCATAATCTTACATGTTGCTTGAAATAATAAATAACAAGTTATAACATCGCTTAATTGTACCAGAAACGTTATCTTGTGCCAGAAAAGTGAAACCACTAAATGTGCAGATATTTTAAAACACTTGCTGGAATGTACCAGAGATTGCCGCAACCAGAGTGAGCACTATCAATCTTCATTATTCAGTTATTAGACTGAAAGCGCGGCTACTCTTTTGACTTGCGGTTTGGACTCCTGTTTTTGTTTGGTCATAATCACTGAGTTGGTGTACATTTCACCTTATTTTTAACTTCTATGCTTAAAACATGGTCAGAATTGCTTGCAAATCGTAGATATTGAGCTTGAAGCACAAATTTCTTACTTTTTGGGCCAAAACTCCGCTCATGGACATGACCTCATATCTATATATAGATCACCAAGAAATGTTAAAACTGTTTTTGTCTGACAAGTTACAAAAATATGAAAGTTGAATAAACATATAATATCACTGATCAAAGTCACTGGCATGAGAAAAAAAGTTTTCAGAACTTTCTTTTTTTCTAAGTAACCGGACTTCATTCTATTATATTAGATATAAGATAGATGGTGCTGACTTTGGCCGCAACTTACTATGACCAATGGAAAACATAGCAGATGAATGTTAGAACCCACTGAGGTAAAAAGTTGATGAAGCAAGTGCAAACAATATTATCTGTTTTGGGCATGGGAAAAAAGGCTGGACTATTGAATGCTCTGCTTTCAAAAGATAAGTGCTTAAGTTGGGACCTTGTCCATCAGCATGAAGGCAGGGATTACTTTTGCTTTATAAATTTAGCTTTTCAAACACTCAGAAATTCAGTGCCTTTTTATTTTTACATCACCGCCTTGTACTGGGGCCACCAAACACACTGACATAGTTTGTTGTCAGTCAAATATTTGTCCAAACGATCAATATTAGCCAATAATTATTAGCATTACACTTTACAGTGTTGGCTCATTATGCTTAGTTAAAAACACTTTGTAAAAACCAAACAAATCTTCCACAATTCGTTGTGGAAAAACAACTTTTTTGTCAAAAGGATTAGTACTAGACATCAATCAGAGTATGGTTGTTGCAGGAGTATCGATTGGATACACAGAGCTTCAAGGATTTCAACAGGCAATGTTGAAAAAGATTGCTTAAACATGAAAATGTATTATTAACCAGCCCAACTTGGATCACATGACGAGAATGCGAGCGCATGGACTTGTTATTGGTTACAACTACCACTATTGGCTAATGCTGGCGCATGCGCGATGGCTGATGCATAATACATCATAATATCAACAGATATGAATTGCATGGAACAAGGTGGTAAGACCTAGATAAGTAAAAGAGAATACCTTACTTCCTGCGAAAGCTATGTAGATTTTGATACAATAGCTTTCTCACGGCGCACTTGGACAGCTTAGTAATAGTGACCTTTAAAATATGAATAAAGATTTCAGCGGCTTACTTTTGGTCTCTAACTGTGTCTTACATCAGTATCATCAATCCGTGCAAGTATTGGGGCGCTGAAATACTTCTTTTTCGATCAAGACTTGTAAATTGTTCATCGAGTGAATGTTTTTTCGACCCATTTCCAATATGGCGGTTTGGTAGGAGCGATATACGCAACGAACGAAATGAATTTTGAGAATGATTAGGTTCGGACAACCTCCGGAGATTCATGGAAATGTCCGAGCTGAAAGAACCTGTATATCTGAGCACCTGGCTAATCCTAACACCTTCCAATTTGAACACTTTTTTCGGTCCTATTTTTTCCTCCCATTGACTCCCATGTTAAAAAACCTTGAAATCTGAACACCTCCTAATTTGAACAGTGAACAAGCAGATTTGAAAAAGTGACCTGTCTAATCTGAACATTTTTATCAGAAATCAAATGTCTGGACACCTTTGTGGAAAACAACAGGATGTTTTAGAAAGGTGTGAATACAGGAGTTAATTGGTTTAAGAACTGAACGTTTTATGTTTGGATTAAGAGAAAGGTGTGAATCAAGAAGATAATTTATTTATCATTATTGGAAATTACCTGGATGTTTTTGATTTGGATTAAGAGAAAGGTGAGAATCTTGAAGATAATTGGTATATCCATATTGTAAATTAACTGGATGTTTTTGATTTGGATTATAAAGAGGTCTTAACTGTTTTATATCCCAAGAGTCTGTTAAGATAGCTAAGATTCAAACAGTAAATGTTTTATAATCACAAAGACAACACAGATGGCATTTGCAGACAAGATTTTATCACGAGAAAGAAAAAAAATTAAACTTCGTAATATCCTACCACTAAATGTCTCCTAAAAAGGCATACATCTGACATTCTGAATACTTATACTTTTACAGTGTATTACAAAGTTTTTGCAGAAATATAAGAGTTGTTTTTACTAAATGTTGAAACTGTTCAAAATATAAATAAAACATAGCATATAGGCTATAGGCCTATTGTAGAATTGACTCATCAAAAACATGTATTGTTTTCTGTGCAATAAGTGGACTGAACAATGAAAACCCCCCTCCCCCAACCAACAAAATCCTCGAAATTTGAACACCTGCCAATTTGAACGCTTTTGGCTGGTCCCATGAGTGTTCGGATTAGACAGGTTTTACTGTATTGGAATTTGGCAGTAAAAACATTCATTCCACTAACAATTACAAGTCTTGATCGAAAAGGAAGTACTTCAGCGCTCCAATACTTGCACGGAAAGATGATAATGATAGTTAGAGAACAAAAGTAGGCAGCTGATGGACTTAATTCGTGTTTAAAAGGTCACTATTATTCAGCTGTCCATTTCCCCATTTGAGGGCCATAAGTTTCAAAATCTAACATGGCTCTCGAATTGAGTAAAGAATACCATCTTTGGCAAGGCTAAGGGAATGTTATAAAAAAACCTTCGACCTGCACCTTCGTCCAAAAAGCGGGCCAAAAAGAAAGTTATAAAAACCCTTCGACCTGCACCTTTGACTTATTGACGTTTTAAACTCAGACAATCTTTATAGTCTCCAATCGATGCGGGAATGTTGATCGATCATGTATATAATATTTCTACGGCTGCAAGGAGAAGGCATTCCATCTGTATCTATTAAAATTTGTCTGTTTAACCAATTACTAAGTATGACGGTAAATCAAATTTGATTCGAGCTCTATGATTTTTTGAAGATTTCGAAGTGTCTGAAGAACCTTAAATTTTAAGGCTCTTTAGCCAAAATGCTAAAGAGCCTTAAAATTTAAGGCTATTTAGCTGTCAACATAGTATTTTGGCTAGAGAGCCTTTGTATTTATAATCCGTGTTAATTTTGTATTTTATTGATGTTTTCGTAATCTAAACAATAAAACAGCAGTCTCGAAAGTTTTTCAACCCAGAGTGCCACTTAAAAATATCACACATGTATATCACTATGTAGTTTCGAAAAAGCCAGTCCAACCACGAAACACCACCCTGGTGTAGTGGTTAGGGTGCTTGCCTTGCACTTCTGCGGCATGGGTTCTTTTCCTTAATGGAGCACATTTTTTGTTTGGTCCGGAGATTATGTACATGTACACATTTTTTCTAGAATTTTTGGGCTTGCTCCATCGCTAAATCATCCATGTTTAATGAAATTAATCACTTGTATTGGCTTTGCTATAGTTACAAGCTTAGAGAATACAGGGAATCCCACTAAGGTTTCAAAAAGTATGATGAAGACCTGGGGATGAAAAAACGATCTTGTTTATTCTAGATACAGCACATCTTGACGCAGTTTATTGTGAATGCAGGGACATCAGTCCGGGGACATCACAGAATACACTTCAAAATATATAGCCTATTAGATTTCAATGCTGTTTTTTAGGATTTTCCATCTGACAAGATATTTTTGCAAAAACTTCCGCTCAAAAGTCCTTCATTTGCATGTACATGTATCAACGATTTTAGGCTAGCATCAAATTCATCAATAAATGTGACTCTCAGACATTTTTACGTGATTGCCTGATCTTAGACCTTCTCTGGTGAACCTTTTTTCGATATATGCATGAAGGTCCATTCAAAGTCGACGTTTGAACCTTTAAAAAGCCAAATTTAGACTATTGAAAAGGTGTTAAGAACTTTTATTTTTCTCGGTAGACCGGAAGTAAATTTATGAGTCGAGTAAAAAGTGATAATGTTCTTTTTATGAAGTGGGGAAGTCAAAACAGTACTAATAGAAGTCATAGCAAGCATTTAAAGAATACTTAGAACCAATTAAAATTAAATCGACGGCAAAATTGAATTGACTGTATGTTTTCTTCTTCATCTTCGCAGACCTCAGAGAAGACACTTCCACTTCAGTGATTTTATCGATCAAAATATATTTCTTTTTGAATTTGTCCGGTATCTGCTAATATGGTATGTATATTTGTGTTGATTGTTAAATTACAAAATAGGTTGGGTATAGAATATGTCAAAGTCATTTGATCTTGTCCCAGAAGCAATATTTCGTCATTTCTGTCGCCTGGAATTCTTTTAAGGCTCTCTAGCAGAATTGCCTATCAAAATGCTAAAGAGCCTTAAAATTTAAGGCTTTTTAGCCGAAATGCTAAAGAACCTTAAAATTTAAGGCTCTTTAGCATTTTGGTAACCCATTTGGCTAGAGAGCCTTAAATTTTAAGGGACCCACATCTAGGGATTTTCCAGTGAAACAGTGACCCACTTTAGCTGCACGTCCCCATACAGTATAGCCAACATGTGGTAAATCCTGGATGCGGGCCTGCTAGTCACGTCTGAGACATGGACTTGAGTGAATGTTTCTAACGTATTTCCTAATAGGCCTACCTAATATACATACGTGTTAACAATTATATGACTTATATGGAAATCGGAAATATTATATAGTTTCGAAAGAAAATATGACTCTTGCGTGGTCTGAGATCGGCAAAAATAGCTTCTATAGTATTTTCTTTTTGGACACCCTGTAGGTCGAAGGTGCAGGTCGAAGGTGCAGGTCGAAGGTGCAGGTCGAAGGTGCAGGTCGAAGGTGCAGGTCGAAGGGTTTTTATAACATTCCAAGGCTAAGCATGGAAGTTAGCCCCACAGCGGCTCCGAGAAATTATAAAAAGCCATATTGGGTCTAGGACCTAACTTGTCAAACTGGGCCTATTTTGACTACGGTGACTTTCTTTATTCTTCCTCATAACTAAATTAAAACTTTTGACAGAATTTATTGACTGATCACTGAGTCGAGTGACTGAGTCGTGAGTCAGATTTTTATCTTTTGAAATAATTTGATATTTTTTGAAATCGGGCACCTTATCATTAATTTTGACGAATGCATGGTAAAACAGATACTTTATCAAATTCAGATTAGTAACCATTACACAATCATATGTGTAATGTGGCTGTAAAACACGAAAAAGTCAGCCAACATTTTTACCTCACCTTGCAAGGTCACTTTCCGCCTCCTAAATTAAAGAGGTTTTTTAACCCCCGACAACCAATCAGAATTGCCGTTACAAAATTTGTGGCAAATTGAAAATTTGCAAAAGTTATAAAAATATCTTCTTTTATCGTTTTCATGTGAGTCTAGGACTGTTGAATTACAAAAGAGCAATGAAGACGCATACAGTTATATTAATTACTTCAATTCTGACATATTTTGGAGCAAGATCTTGTTATGGACTCATGGATTGGTTCTTTGGAAAAAATTCAGAATCACAGCATGAAAACAAGCCTGGGCCTGCGAGCATTGCAACTGGAAATGTCGCTTTTGAAATGAAACTGACTGATGAGAAGTTTTTGTCACAAGCTGGCTTCAAAGATCTTTCTGCACTAGATACATGTCATCACCAGGTAAATGATTGATCTTCTTACCTTTGGTCACACAGGTCCAACTTTCGAGGTGTAGACTATTAAAGCTCCTTTGTGTTATTATCAGTTTTGCCAAAACGTCGTTTTTATGGTAGATTTTTAAAGAATTCAACTACAAGTCTCGTTATCATAGGCGCAGAGCTGTCAAGTGTCCCGCGAATGGCGGGATTATCCCGCGAATTTGATAAAAATTAGGCTAATTCGCGTGTCCCGCGAAGTCCCGCAAATGTGGCTTTAACCTCCGCGAATTTCCGAAATTGTTGCAATCCCCTATATTGTGATTATCTTATCTTATATAAGAAGCTAAGTTTTTGCACTTTTGAGGAGTAAAGTTTACCTTGTTGTAAGTACCTAGCATGCTGTTGTTTGGTATCAAAATAAAGAGGAAGGGTTCAACTTTCATTTTAATTACGAAAATAGGGATGTAGGTCACAAACAGTTCCAACGTTGGCCTTTTTACTACCTGTGTGGCCTTCATCTCAGAACTGAGCAAATGTTAGCAAACGCGAGTTACAATAAATGGACACTGATATGTAGAAAGGGTTTGTAGAAAAAACCGGGTACCGGGTTGTAAATCCTCCATGCTGGGTTCAAACTTGGTACCCGGTCAAAAAAACGGGTACCCAAAAAACGAAAAATACGAATATATAACATAATTAGATTATGAGAAAACGTGTAAGATTTGTTTTGAATTCACAAAAATGTATGTAACATCCTTCAAAATTGAGCCAGAAGCTTCAAATAAAAACCATAGTTTAAGGCTCTTTTCTTCCTCTATCGTCATGGCCATATTTTCATTGGTTATGATGATAAAGGAAGAAAAGAGCCTTAAAATGCTTTTCATTTGAATCTTCTAGCGCAATTTTGAAGGAAGTTACATACATTTTTGTAAATTCAAAACAAATCTTACACGTTTTCTAATGATCTAATTATGTTGTATATTCGTATATTTCGTTTTTTGGGTACCCGGTTTTTTCGACCAGGTACCAAGTTTGAACCCAGCATGGAGGATTTACTACCCGGTACCCAGTTTTTTCTACAAACCCTATCTAGAAAAGTAACCTCATTCCCTATAATTTGATGTAGATTAATCGAACCCCTATGTCATGGGCTTTCAATTGAAAGCCCATGCCTACAGTATATGAATAGGTACATTTTAATATATAACATTATGGGGGTAAGCGTTTCATAGTTGGTCACGACGCCAGAAGTGCAAAGTATTGTTCCGAATTTTTGAATTTCGTGTTAGATTACGGTACTCACACCTGAAGCATGGTTTTTGTTTTTGATAAATTACAATAAAGTTTAATAATTGTGTTGACGTTTATTTAAGTTATAATGCAACGGTGCATTATATTTGATTAATCAGTATCTGGAAGTTTGATTTAAGTACTTTAACATGCTTTTACATTAGTCCCAATCACGCAAATCCCTTGAATGTCCCGGGACATCCTGCAAATTTAGGTGGATGTCCCGCGAAATCCCGCAAATTTAGGGCACGTTGTCTAAAACATCTGTCCCTCTATGAAGTTTTTGGTGGTAAACCTGTTAACTGTCCGGCAATTAGAGTGTTTGTCCCTCGAATGGTTCCGCGAAATCCCGCGAATTTGATAAAAAAAATTTGGCCTATTAGCGCAATCACGCAAATGCCTTAAGTGTCCCGCGAAATCCCGCGAATTTAGTACATGTCCCGCAAAATCCCGCGAATTTTGGGCACTGGGTCTAAAAAATCTGTCCCGCAAGAAAATCTTTAGGGGTTGACAGTACTGTAGGCGTAGCGCCTAGTACGCCTGGTACGCACAGGCGTAACAGATGGTTGCAAATACACTCCAAATACAACCATGGGCTTTCAACTAGAAGGGTATGCAACTCTGTTTTATATACATGAGAACTTCAAAAGGAGCACTGCCATGCTTCCCTTTTTATGGTAATATTTCAAAAATTATTAGATAAATGTATATGTTTCAATATTATTTTGAATGAAAATCAATTTTGAATATGAATAAAGCATAAATTATGTTCAATCTCATGTAAAAGTAAACAAAACAGACCAATAAGAATAAGAGGCATCAAAATGTTCTCTTTGAGTATTGCATTGTAGGTAATTATTCAAGAACACATTCCAATAAAAACAAAATTTGTGGGAGGATGTTCACTTTCTTTATTGCAATTATTATGATGAATTCCATTTTTTATTAATTTATCAACATGTATGCAGATAATCATGTTTTCATTTTTGAGTTATTTCTTTAAATCATCCATAAAAAGTACAAAATAAGATTTTCTTGGAATGTGTACATTCTCAAATTTTGAAAACAACAGGCAATGCTAAATGTATAAATATGGGAAGTTGCCTACCCTTCTAGTTGAAAGCCCATGATACAACCAAACTACAATTTTTCGGGGGGAGAACCTCCAGATCCCATATGAATGCTCATTTATCATTTCGCTTAACTCATATTCCCTTGGCGGTGTACTACTCATATAGCACTATATGGTTACCTCGCTATTTTCCAAGTAGGGCAAAGGGGTGCAATGTCGACATAAGAGACAGGGTAATTTCAACACTTACTAATGCAAGAATAGAAACATGGCTTCCCCCTAGATCGGAAATAAGAGCAAATAAACAACAAGGTGTCGAAGCTACCCCAAAATGGTGTATACATTACACCCCCCTAGAAGACTGTTACAGACAGACCTCCATTGCTGCGTTTACATTTTCCGGCATTAAATGCATCAGTTTGAAAAATACCTTCACATCTATACAAATTAGATTGGTACTCCACGTTACCTTCTGATACGCTACTTCAGGTCAATAGCAATGATCAGTGCGTGGTGTACTGATCAAATTTGAATAGATGTGAAGGTGTTTTTTAAACTGATGGATTTAATGCTGAAAAATGTAGATGCGATGGAGGTCTGTAACAGGCATCTATTGAAAAAATATGGACGACAACGAGGAAAGAACTAGCTTGATAAATAGATTTGTTGAATTCTTTGAAAATTTGCAAGTTCTGACAGCTGGGGACCGAAAGCCATTAAAAGGAGGGACTCTATAAATACATAATATACCTACAGAAAGGCTTTTTTGTTTTGCTTTAATGGAACAAGTTTGAAGAAAAATGTTGCAGTATGAGACTCACAATCCTTGATTGTAAAACATCTGGTAGGTCCAAAATTTCAATTTTTATTTAATGGTTTTTCATTGTTAAGTTGGTTTCGATACGCGACGAAAGTTTGACCCGCATGGCTTATTCCGGTAGATTTTTGAAAATAAAAAGTGTATTTTTCCAGTGAATCCAAAGACTCCAAGATAGATCCAGTCCCCATTAGTAGTAGGCTCACAATGAGATAATGAGAAGACCAGACATGAAACCAAAAATAGTACTACATCCAAAATATGACCCTCGTACTGACCTTTACCTTCACCATCTCTCAAGCATGGAGTGATCAATATTCGCCCTGTAATCTCTTCTTCATATTTCAATTTGGATGCTTACATGATATTGATCATTGATGCTGTGACTAGATTTTTCCGAGACAATCGTTTCAAATTTTCAGACATAAATGATAGACATAGAAAGGGCTTCATAAAACTATGAACAATTACTTTCAATTAAGGTCAAATCTCAAATCAAATCATCGTTAGGTTTATGATTCAATTTCATTACTTTTCCCTTTTAACTTATGATTTAATGATCATATTTTAAAAGTAAATAAAAAATACATATTAAGTCTAAGATGACCAACTGATATGTCATTTGACATGATTATTGAGTCAATAAAATATATCAAAATGAATTTAAACGCATCTTAATTTCCCTTGATATAGATTTTACATGATGCAAATTCTACAAAGTCTATACTTTCTTTCCTCATTTAAAGCCTCACATTCAAAAACCATATTGAAGGTTGTTTCATATACAGCATTAATACCTGTTTTTTATTCTCTATTTGATTTGCACAATATGCCTTATTAGATTATACATCCCTTATATGAGATGTATAATGCAACCATATTTTACAAGTGTGAGATACATTTTACTGACTTTAAGATTGACTCTTGTCGTTCATGTATTCATTCCGCTTCAATGTGGCATCTCTTTCAATTTTAACAAGACAAATGTTTAAAAATATTGCGCAAAAACATAAACTTGCAAATAAAACAAATGTCCATTTTGAGCAAGGTTCTCCAAAGCACTCTTTTGATCCTGGTAAGGTATTCAATTCATAACTAAATGCAAAGAATTGTTGGAATCCATACATCCCAATGCTTTGTGCTATTAAAGTAACCCCAAGGTTCTGACCGAGATATTTTAAACCAAATAATTCAATAACGACCCATTCTATTTGTACAAAAAATACTCCAAGTGAGAAACTCATCAAAATTGTACTGCTGAATAGGCCAATGAAACCATCATAGAAGAATATTCCAACAATTAAGCTGATGAACATGAATGTTGAACTTGGGAGAAGACCCGCTGATTTAGGCATATGAGGCCATTTTGTTGATATAAAATAACTAATCAGCCCTACAAATAGCCGTCCCAGTACACTGAAAATTGGAAGAACGATTGTATATACTGCTATTTCATCTTCTCGATTAGCAGATTTCAATATCATTGTAATATTATTGATAAATGCTGTTGACGTTCCACCTAAAATCACAGTTATCAGAAAGAGGTAATAAAATTCTAATGTTTTTACAATTTGCCAAGCATTTAGATCTGGTGGGCATTCAGTTATGTCTTTAGTATCTGACTTTTGAATCAATGCATTTTTCTCATCAGAATCCAATTTGTCTTCAGTGACTCTGTCTTGTTCAAAACTTTTGAATAATTCATTCAATTCACTCTCATCTGCTTGGCAGACTCCATTTGCAGGAATTTCCTGAAGAAATGCTATAGATAACAAATGAATGATCACAGAGAAAACTGCTAGAAACAGCATAAAATCCCCATATTTTTGATTTTCTGCATCTG